AATATGTACAGGTGGAGAGGGGAAGCTTTGAGATGGGCAATATGTACAGGTGGAGAGGGGAAGCTTTGAGATGGGCAATATGTACAGGTGGAGAGGGGAAGCTTTGAGATGGGCAATATGTACAGGCAGAGAGGGGAAGCTTTGAGATGGGCAATATGTACAGGTGGAGAGGGGAAGCTTTGAGATGGGCAATATGTACAGGCGGAGAGGGGAAGCTTTGAGATGGGCAATATGTACAGGTGGAGAGGGGAAGCTTTGAGATGGGCAATATGTACAGGTGGAGAGGGGAAGCTTTGAGATGGGCAATATGTACAGGCGGAGAGGGGAAGCTTTGAGATGGGCAATATGTACAGGCGGAGAGGGGAAGCTTTGAGATGGGCAATATGTACAGGTGGAGAGGGGAAGCTTTGAGATGGGCAATATGTACAGGCGGAGAGGGGAAGCTTTGAGGTGGGCAATATGTACAGGTGGAGAGGGGAAGCTTTGAGATGGGCAATATGTACAGGTGGAGAGGGGAAGCTTTGAGATGGGCAATATGTACAGGTGGAGAGGGGAAGCTTTGAGATGGGCAATATGTACAGGTGGAGAGGGGAAGCTTTGAGATGGGCAATATGTACAGGTGGAGAGGGGAAGCTTTGAGATGGGCAATATGTACAGGTGGAGAGGGGAAGCTTTGAGATGGGCAATATGTACAGGCGGAGAGGGGAAGCTTTGAGATGGGCAATATGTACAGGTGGAGAGGGGAAGCTTTGAGATGGGCAATATGTACAGGTGGAGAGGGGAAGCTTTGAGATGGGCAATATGTACAGGCGGAGAGGGGAAGCTTTGAGACGGGCAATATGTACAGGTGGAGAGGGGAAGCTTTGAGATGGGCAATATGTACAGGCGGAGAGGGGAAGCTTTGAGATGGGCAATATGTACAGGTGGAGAGGGGAAGCTTTGAGATGGGCAATATGTACAGGCGGAGAGGGGAAGCTTTGAGATGGGCAATATGTACAGGTGGAGAGGGGAAGCTTTGAGATGGGCAATATGTACAGGTGGAGAGGGGAAGCTTTGAGATGGGCAATATGTACAGGCGGAGAGGGGAAGCTTTGAGATGGGCAATATGTACAGGCGGAGAGGGGAAGCTTTGAGATGGGCAATATGTACAGGTGGAGAGGGGAAGCTTTGAGATGGGCAATATGTACAGGTGGAGAGGGGAAGCTTTGAGATGGGCAATATGTACAGGTGGAGAGGGGAAGCTTTGAGATGGGCAATATGTACAGGCGGAGAGGGGAAGCTTTGAGATGGGCAATATGTACAGGCGGAGAGGGGAAGCTTTGAGATGGGCAATATGTACAGGTGGAGAGGGGAAGCTTTGAGATGGGCAATATGTACAGGCGGAGAGGGGAAGCTTTGAGATGGGCAATATGTACAGGTGGAGAGGGGAAGCTTTGAGATGGGCAATATGTACAGGTGGAGAGGGGAAGCTTTGAGATGGGCAATATGTACAGGTGGAGAGGGGAAGCTTTGAGATGGGCAATATGTACAGGTGGAGAGGGGAAGCTTTGAGATGGGCAATATGTACAGGCGGAGAGGGGAAGCTTTGAGATGGGCAATATGTACAGGTGGAGAGGGGAAGCTTTGAGATGGGCAATATGTACAGGCGGAGAGGGGAAGCTTTGAGATGGGCAATATGTACAGGTGGAGAGGGGAAGCTTTGAGATGGGCAATATGTACAGGTGGAGAGGGGAAGCTTTGAGATGGGCAATATGTACAGGCGGAGAGGGGAAGCTTTGAGATGGGCAATATGTACAGGCGGAGAGGGGAAGCTTTGAGATGGGCAATATGTACAGGCGGAGAGGGGAAGCTTTGAGATGGGCAATATGTACAGGTGGAGAGGGGAAGCTTTGAGATGGGCAATATGTACAGGTGGAGAGGGGAAGCTTTGAGATGGGCAATATGTACAGGCGGAGAGGGGAAGCTTTGAGATGGGCAATATGTACAGGCGGAGAGGGGAAGCTTTGAGATGGGCAATATGTACAGGTGGAGAGGGGAAGCTTTGAGATGGGCAATATGTACAGGTGGAGAGGGGAAGCTTTGAGATGGGCAATATGTACAGGTGGAGAGGGGAAGCTTTGAGATGGGCAATATGTACAGGTGGAGAGGGGAAGCTTTGAGATGGGCAATATGTACAGGCGGAGAGGGGAAGCTTTGAGATGGGCAATATGTACAGGTGGAGAGGGGAAGCTTTGAGATGGGCAATATGTACAGGTGGAGAGGGGAAGCTTTGAGATGGGCAATATGTACAGGTGGAGAGGGGAAGCTTTGAGATGGGCAATATGTACAGGCGGAGAGGGGAAGCTTTGAGATGGGCAATATGTACAGGCGGAGAGGGGAAGCTTTGAGATGGGCAATATGTACAGGTGGAGAGGGGAAGCTTTGAGATGGGCAATATGTACAGGTGGAGAGGGGAAGCTTTGAGATGGGCAATATGTACAGGTGGAGAGGGGAAGCTTTGAGATGGGCAATATGTACAGGTGGAGAGGGGAAGCTTTGAGATGGGCAATATGTACAGGTGGAGAGGGGAAGCTTTGAGATGGGCAATATGTACAGGTGGAGAGGGGAAGCTTTGAGATGGGCAATATGTACAGGCGGAGAGGGGAAGCTTTGAGATGGGCAATATGTACAGGTGGAGAGGGGAAGCTTTGAGATGGGCAATATGTACAGGCGGAGAGGGGAAGCTTTGAGATGGGCAATATGTACAGGCGGAGAGGGGAAGCTTTGAGATGGGCAATATGTACAGGTGGAGAGGGGAAGCTTTGAGATGGGCAATATGTACAGGTGGAGAGGGGAAGCTTTGAGATGGGCAATATGTACAGGTGGAGAGGGGAAGCTTTGAGATGGGCAATATGTACAGGCGGAGAGGGGAAGCTTTGAGATGGGCAATATGTACAGGCGGAGAGGGGAAGCTTTGAGATGGGCAATATGTACAGGTGGAGAGGGGAAGCTTTGAGATGGGCAATATGTACAGGCGGAGAGGGGAAGCTTTGAGATGGGCAATATGTACAGGTGGAGAGGGGAAGCTTTGAGATGGGCAATATGTACAGGTGGAGAGGGGAAGCTTTGAGATGGGCAATATGTACAGGTGGAGAGGGGAAGCTTTGAGATGGGCAATATGTACAGGTGGAGAGGGGAAGCTTTGAGATGGGCAATATGTACAGGTGGAGAGGGGAAGCTTTGAGATGGGCAATATGTACAGGCGGAGAGGGGAAGCTTTGAGATGGGCAATATGTACAGGCGGAGCGACCCATTCCGGCGATCCGGCCCCCTCGTTTATTTAGTTATTCACGTTGGCGATTTAGCACCCCCCCCATTTTGGAAAGGTTGGGGCGCTATTTACTAGTCGCTGTTCCGAAACACTTTTTATTTTGGTGTCAAAGAATTGGAGTAGATAACAATAAAATGGGTCTAGAAAGGCAAGTAGTAGTCTATTTTCTTGACTGTGTAAAATTCAGTAATGCAGTTCGCAATAGGCTCAAACACCCCCCCCCCCCACCAGGTTTGAGCCCCCTTAGGATCGGCCGCCCCACCCCCCTCTCTTATAGCTACTCCTCTGGTCATAAGCTCTGCAAAGAACGAAAATTGTCTCCCCCCCCCACCTCGGATACAAAAATGACTGAAAGATACCCTGCCTGAACCATCACTATAAAGATCTACCTAGAGGAACATATTGTAAAAATTCTAATCCTCCTTTACCTCCCCACAAGAAGTTTCTACCGCTTTCCTGCACTACGCATGCATCAAATCACCGTGTTTGGGAACCTCTGGTTTGACCAATGTCGTTTCCGTGCCCGGAATACGCTCGACATGTTTACACAAGGCACACACTTGTAAGTTCGTCTATGAGCACAGACCTGTTGTGTTATTGCCAATACTAAATGTATGCCTAGAGCCACCCTAGGCTAACACTCGCTCTCTGTTGCATTACAAAATATTAAGGGGAGCTCACTCTAGTTTTATTATTTTTAACAAAACATAAAAAACCCAACTCTAACTGGGGTGGCATTCTGGAGGGTGGAATGGATCACTGGCACTTCAATTTCAGTTGGGAAAATTGTTTTAATATACGAGTAAACTGACGTACGAGCAAAGTTACGCAATAAATTAAATTCGTATCTTGAGGTACAACTATACGGTTTTTAAAAAATCCGCCACTGCACGAATCTGTCTGCACGTCAGTTGTAAACATTTTCCGATAACGTTCGTCTGTAATAAAGTCTTTATCCTTCTCATTTCCTGCCCAACTTCAGTCAGCTTGCCAAGACGTATGACGTAAGTCGATGGAGAAGGTTTTAGATTTATTCGTGGTCTTAACCTTCACACCACCTGACCTAACAAGTTTTTTTTTTTTAAAATCATGTTGCATTTTCATTCCTTTTTGCTTACATCACAAATATCATCACACGTTCCAGCATACCCATCACAAACACCATCAAACATACCAGTACAAGTATCACACAGATCATCACATCACAGAAAGACTGACAGACACACAAACATACAGAACACAATGTGATCAATGAGTCCATCACTGAATATTGAATGAAAATATTTTATTACTGCAACTACAATTGTGTATCACAGTCAATATTAATTATCACTTCCAGAGTTTCTTCCAGGCATCTCTTCGGGGGGGACGGAGCCCCCCCGAAAATTTTTTACCGCCCCCCCCGAACGAAATGAAATTTATATAATTTATATAGAAAATATATACTTTTAACAGTGTCCGCCCCCCCCCCAAAGAAAGTTTACCGCCCCCCCGAAGATTTCAAGTGCCCCCCCCGGAGAAAAAAGTCTGGAAGAAACACTGATCACTTCACATCAGTGATGCTAATTTTAAAAATTATATAAACAAGTAATTATACAAACAAGAGATAATGAGATAATTATATTCTGACTTGATTCAAGTCACTAAACTTTAATGAAAGACTTTATGATCAGTCACATGACTAGCCGAATCAACCAATATTTACAAAACAGATGACCAGTCACATGACTAGCTGAATCAACCAATATTTAACAGATGACCAGTCACATGACTAGCTGAATCAACCAATATTTAACAGATGGCCAGTCACATGACCAGCTGAATCAACCAATATTTAACAGATGACCAGTCACATGACCAGCTGAATCAACCAATATTTAACAGATGACCAGTCACATGACCAGCTGAATCAACCAATATTTAACAGATGACCAGTCACATGACCAGCTGAATCAACCAATATTTAACAGATGACCAGTCACATGACTAGCTGAATCAACCAATATTTAATAGATGACCAGTCACATGACTCGCTGAATCAACCAATATTTACAAAACAGATGACCAGTCACATGACTAGCTGAATCAACCAATATTTAACAGATGACCAGTCACATGACTAGCTGAATCAACCAATATTTACAAAACAGATGACCAGTCACATGACCAGCTGAATCAACCAATATTTACAAAACAGATGACCAGTCACATGACTAGCTGAATCAACCAATATTTACAAAACAGATGACCAGTCACATGCCTAGCTGAATCAACCAATATTTACAAAACAGATGACCAGTCACATGACTAGCTGAATCAACCAATATTTACAAAACAGATGACCAGTCACATGACTAGCTGAATCAACCAATATTTACAAAACAGATGACCAGTCATATGACCAGCTGAATCAACCAATATTTACAAAACAGATGACCAGTCACATGACTAGCTGAATCAACCAATATTTACAAAACAGATGACCAGTCACATGACTAGCTGAATCAACCAATATTTACAAAACAGATGACCAGTCACATGACTAGCTGAATCAACCAATATCATATTCTGTACCTGATAAGGCAGGGTAGGTAGTACTCAAGGCTATTTAGCTGCAGAAATGTGATGTCAGACATCAGAACATCCATACTGGATGTCAGACATCAGAAGATCCATGCTGGATGTCAGACATCAGAACATCCATGCTGGATGTCAGACATCAGAAGATCCATACTTAAAAGTTCTATTCATCAGAGCTAGAGTCAAGTGTTTCACAGACAAACATTTTTGATTTTCTTTTTGATGGTGTCCTTGATTTTTCTTTCCTGTGACTTTTTTTGTTAGCCATTTCATCTAAGACAATTTGTCTCATCATCTTCTTCTGTTCCTGGTGGTAAGCCTCCTGTTGAGAAAATAAACTCAGTCAATTCAGTGGACTGAAGGTAACAGTTGCTGGTCAGGTCATACAGGGAGGGTAGGGCAGGTTACACAGGGAGGGTGGTGTGGTGGGGGAAGTTAAATTAATTCTATCTACCATATTTAAGTGATGAGGGAGGGAGCACTTATATCTGACGACACTAATGAAACACCTCAACAAGTCCAATACAAACCAAAACTTGTACTTTAATATCAGCAACTAATAATACATCACAATACTTAGATAAGACCTTTTCCTATCATGTCAAACCCCCAACTGTCACTTCAGACTCGTGTCCTCCGTCATTGCTATCATTGTCACGCCACACTCATGCTATACAAATTCTATTAAACAAAAAAACATGTGCACATACTCTCGAACCATATCGCCTATCATCAATACCAAGTTTACACTGTCCTTATTAATCTCTATGTCTCGTCATATATGTATATATATATTTATCTACACTATGACAGATGGGGCAGGTCATTCAGGGACAGGTGGTACAGGTAAGCTAGGGTAGGGAATACAATATAGAAGGCAGGGCAATAAACTTAGCAAGGTAAAGTGAGTTGCATTGAATGGATTAACAAGATCTTAAGAGCTAGAATCAAAGAATAAAGAGACAAACCCTGTTTTTCAAAATGATGGATAAATTTAACAAGATCTTAAGAGCTAGAATCAAAAAATGAAGAGACAAACCCTGTTTTTCAAAATGATGGATAAATTTAACAAGATCTTAAGAGCTAGAATCAAAGAATGAAGAGACAAAGCCTGTTTTTCAAAATGATGGATAAATTTAACAAGATCTTAAGAGCTAGAATCAAAGAATGAAGAGACAATAGAATCAAAGAATGAAGAGACAAACCCTGTTTTTCAAAATGATGGATAAATTGAACAAGACTTTAAGAGCTAGAATGAAAGAATGAAGAGACAAACCCTGTGAGTTGCATTGAATGGATTAACAAGATCTTAAGAGCTAGAATCAAAGAATGAAGAGACAAACCCTGTTTTTCAAAATGTCGCTGATGTCTTCATTCTTGAGCAGTGCAAGGTGCAACTGTGTGGAGAAACCTTGACAAGGTAGTTTTTCTACAGGCTTCAGCTTCCTCTTTATGGTAGTGGCACATCTTATCTACAACACACAGTTACACAAGGTCACACATCTTTGCTACACGTTTCTTTAGTCAGGTCACAAATCTTTGCTACAAGTTTCTTAAGTCAGGTCACAAATCTTTGCTACAAGTTTCTTAAGTCAGGTCACACATCTTTGCTACACGTTTCTTTAGTCAGGTCACAAATCTTTGCTACAAGTTTCTTAAGTCAGGTCACAAATCTTTGCTACAAGTTTCTTAAGTCAGGTCACACATCTTTGCTACAAGTTTCTTAAGTCAGGTCACAAATCTTTGCTACAAGTTTCTTAAGTCAGGTCACACATCTTTGCTACAAGTTTCTTAAGTCAGGTCACACATCTTTGCTACAAGTTTCTTAAGTCAGGTCACACATCTTTGCTACAAGTTTCCTAAGTCAGGTCACACATCTTTACTACAAGTTTCTTAAGTAAGGTCACACATCTTTACTACAAGTTTCCTAAGTCAGGTCACACATCTTTGCTACAAGTAAGGTCACACATCTTTGCTACAAGTATCCTAAGTCAGGTCACACATCTTTGCTACAAGTAAGGTCACACATCTTTACTACAAGTTTCCTAAGTCAGGTCACACATCTTTACTACAAGTATCCTAAGTCAGGTCACACATCTTTAGATGTAGCAGACCTCCTGAACAATTTCTTGAGTGCAGCGTGCCACACCCAAACAATACAGCAACTCCTACAAACTAAATGCTGCTAGATCTAGGGAACCAAATATCTACTACAGACTAAATGATACTAGATCTAGGGAACCAAATAATTACAGACTAAATGCTGCTAGATCTAGGGAACCAAATAATTACAGACTAAATGCTACTAGATCTAGGGAACCAAATAATTACAGACTAAATGCTACTAGATCTAGGGAACCAAATAATTACAGACTAAATGCTGCTAGATCTAGGGAACCAAATAATTACAGACTAAATGCTGCTAGATCTAGGGAACCAAATAATTACAGACTAAATGCTACTAGATCTAGGGAACCAAATAATTACAGACTAAATGCTACTAGATCTAGGGAACCAAATAATTACAGACTAAATGCTGCTAGATCTAGGGAACCAAATAATTACAGACTAAATGCTACTAGATCTAGGGAACCAAATAATTACAGACTAAATGCTACTAGATCTAGGGAACCAAATAATTACAGACTAAATGCTACTAGATCTAGGGAACCAAATAATTACAGACTAAATGCTGCTAGATCTAGGGAACCAAATAATTACAGACTAAATGCTACTAGATCTAGGGAACCAAATAATTACAGACTAAATGCTACTAGATCTAGGGAACCAAATAATTACAGACTAAATGCTACTAGATCTAGGGAACCAAATAATTACAGACTAAATGCTGCTAGATCTAGGGAACCAAATAATTACAGACTAAAAGCTACTAGATCTAGGGAACCAAAAATCTACAGACTAAATGCTGCTAGATCTAGGGAACCAAAGATCTACAGACTAAATGCTGCTAGATCTAGGGAACCAAAGATCTACAGACTAAATGCTGCTAGATCTAGGGAACCAAAGCTCACCACAGGTGGACTGGCATCTAGAGGCGGAGAGAAAATGGCGTCCATCAGGTTCTCATCTGAAACAAAGGGATAATCTAGTTGATTGGCTGGTCAAATGGACATGCTAGTTGATTGGCTGGACAAAGGTATATGCTAGTTGATTGGCTGGACAAAGGGATATGCTAGTTGATTGGCTGGACACAGGGATATGCTAGTTGATTGGCTGGACAAAGGGACATGCTAGTTGATTGGCTGGACAAAGGGAAGTGCTATCCCTTCATATGCTGAGGTGGCAGAAACAGGTGAGCTCTACTTCACATGCCCATTCTCCTGCTGTCCAAAACTTTATCTTTCTGATCTAAAAAGAAGTCCCACCTCAGTGTACACGTTTTTGTCTTTTAAAAACATCTATTTCTTTCTTTGATATTTTCTGAGCCAGAACCTCATATGAATAATAAATGAATAAATTATTAAAGCTAAAGTCAAACTAATAATGAATTAGATCCAAAAATTTAACATTGACATGATGTGTTTTGAACCCATAACACCTACATGGTGTCTATTACACTAATGTCTCAGCCAGCCAAGCACATACCATTAAGTGAAAATATATCCAGTTATTTTACTTTAGCCAGAGTAAGAAAGTAAAATTCAGCTAATATTATTTTAAATTAAATTATATCCTAATTTAGCCAAATCCATTGCTAAAAAAACAAAGATTTATATAAAATATTTAAGGCCTGAAATATTTGAGTAAGAACCTCAATTATTCATTGTGTTTTTACTTTAGAATGGCTTAGATTAAAGCTCTAGATACATATTGTGATCTCGAATAAGATTCTCTGTGAAGCTAAAAACCAAAGATTTATATCAAATATTTAAGGACTAAAATATTTTAATAAAGAAACTCAATTATTTATTGTTTCTCTTTTTAACTCATTAATTTTGGTTTGGCCTTAAATCACGTTTATTGGTATAAGTTTAGTTTCATTTAGATAAATTCCTATTAGTTTCAAGTGACATCACTATGTCCCTGTGAAAGCTTTTAATTTTTGTGAAAATAAAGTATTTGTTCTGAACTTTTATAATTAAAGGGGTGTTTCTACAAATGATTATATCAATAAATAAATTGTTGTCTTGATGAAAGGTGTAGTAATGCATAAAGGACAGAAAAACAAATATACATTACTTTATATAAATATATAGATATATACATTTAGGGGAGATCAATCCCACTTTATCATTTTCTGTGTATTTAAAAGATTATTATTAAGGTTTCTATCATTGTTTTACTTTTTGGATTTTTTTAAATTACTAAGTCTGACCCCACAAACCACCAGCCAACTGCTGCCTACCTAATGGCACCTGTAGAAACCACCAGCCAACTGCTGCCTACCTAATGGCACCTGTAGAAACCACCAGCCAACTGCTGCCTACCTAATGGCACCTGTAGAAACCACCAGCCAACTGCTGCCTACCTAATGGCACCTGTAGAAACCACCAGCCAACTGCTGCCTACCTAATGGCACCTGTAGAAACCACCAGCCAACTGCTGCCTACCTAATGGCACCTGTAGAAACCACCAGCCAACTGCTGCCTACCTAATGGCACCTGTAGAAACCACCAGCCAACTGCTGCCTACCTAATGGCACCTGTAGAAACCACCAGCCAACTGCTGCCTACCTAATGGCACCTGTAGAAACCACCAGCCAACTGCTGCCTACCTAATGGCACCTGTAGATGGTGTCTGGTGACCACATCCTCAGATAAGAACCTGCACCTGGTGATGTCATCAAAACTTTGGACCCATCTACTGGACCTGTCACTGGCCCCCCTCCTCTCAGCTGATGTGCTGGACGTCACCTTCATTGTCTCTGACATCTCATCTAGTCTAATCCTTTGGCAGAAAACATCTCCATATGAGTCCAACTGGTAGAAACATAAAATATGACATGAAACATCTTCATACAAGTCCAACTGGTAGAAACATAAAATATGACATGAAACATCTTCATACAAGTCCAACTGGTAGAAACATAAAACATGACATGAAACATCTTCATACAAGTCCAACTGGTAGAAACATAAAACATGACATGAAACATCTTCATACAAGTCCAACTGGTAGAAACATAAAACATGACATGAAACATCTCCATATGAGTCCAACTAGTAGAAACATAAAATATGACATAAAACATCTCCATAGAAGTCCAACTGGTAGAAACATAAAATATGACATGAAACATCTTCATACAAGTCCAACTGGTAGAAACATAAAATATGACATGAAACATCTTCATACAAGTCCAACTGGTAGAAACATAAAATATGACATGAAACATCTTCATACAAGTCCAACTGGTAGAAACATAAAATATAACATAAAACATCTTCATACAAGTCCAACTGGTAGAAACATAAAACATCTTCATACAAGTCCAACTGGTAGAAACATAAAATATGACATGAAACATCTTCATACAAGTCCAACTAGTAGAAACATAAAACATCTTCATACAAGTCCAACTGGTAGAAACATAAAATATGACATGAAACATCTTCATACAAGTCCAACTGGTAGAAACATAAAATATGACATGAAACATCTTCATACAAGTCCAACTGGTAGAAACATAAAATATGACATGAAACATCTCTATACAAGTCCAACTGGTAGAAACATAAAATATGACATGAAACATCTTCATACAAGTCCAACTGGTAGAGGGCACGAAGTTTCTCTGTTCTAGTGACGGCTAGTCCATTACCTGGTAAACTGAAAGGGCACTAAGTTTCTCTGTTGGTCTAGAGACTACTAGTCCATTACCTGGTAAACTGAAAGGGCACTAAGTTTCTCTGTTGGTCTAGAGACTACTAGTCCATTACCTGGTAAACTGAAAGGGCACTAAGTTTTTCTGTTGGTCTAGTGACTACCAGTCCATTACCTGGTAAACTGAAAGGGCACTAAGTTTTTCTGTTGGTCTAGTGACTACTAGTCCATTACCTGGTAAACTGAAAGGGCACTAAGTTTCTCTGTTGGTCTAGTGACTACTAGTCCATTACCTGGTAAACTGAAAGGGCACTAAGTTTTTCTGTTGGTCTAGAGACTACTAGTCCATTACCTGGTAAACTGAAAGGGCACTAAGTTTTTCTGTTGGTCTAGTGACTACTAGTCCATTACCTGGTAAACTGAAAGGGCACTAAGTTTTTCTGTTGGTCTAGTGACTACTAGTCCATTACCTGGTAAACTGAAAGGGCACTAAGTTTTTCTGTTGGTCTAGTGACTACTAGTCCATTACCTGGTAAACTGAAAGGGCACTAAGTTTTTCTGTTGGTCTAGTGACTACTAGTCCATTACCTGGTAAACTGAAAGGGCACTAAGTTTTTCTGTTGGTCTAGTGACTACTAGTCCATTACCTGGTAAACTGAAAGGGCACTAAGTTTTTCTGTTGGTCTAGTGACTACTAGTCCATTACCTGGTAAACTGAAAGGGCACTAAGTTTCTCTGTTGGTCTAGAGACTACTAGTCCATTACCTGGTAAACTGAAAGGGCACTAAGTTTCTCTGTTGGTCTAGTGACTACTAGTCCATTACCTGGTAAACTGAGAGGGCACTAAGTTTCTCTGTTGGTCTAGAGACTGCCAGTCCAGCCAATGATGCCTGAAACCTTCTCTCCATGCTGTTCCAGTCCCAAAAGTCACTTGTGTTTAAAGAGTGATAAAATTCCCTGCAGTCAAAGAAAGCAATGCATTAGCTTCTGCTACTGCAGGAAGACAAAAGCACAAACACAAGATGGGGAAAAAGAAACCTACTCATGACCACCAGCATTAGATGGGGAAAGAGAAACCTACCCATGATGACCACTAACACAAGATGGGGAAAGAGAAACCTACCCATGATGACCACCAACACAAGATGGGGAAAGAGAAACCTACCCATGATCACCAGCATTAGATGGGGAAAGAGAAACCTACCCAATGGGTGAAACTTTCCATGGAAGAACTGTAGAGGTGGGTGCAAGACCCTGCTGCACATTCACATGGAAACACATCACCTCTGCTGGTTGCTGCGATGCCAGGAAAATCAGATTTTCTGGAGATGACAGAAGCATTTTGGACAATGCTAAAGGTATACATTTTATTATTCATCCACACAAACAAAAGTATTTAGAGAATGCTAAAGGTATACATAAGTAAATTATACATCCACACAAACAAAAGTAAACAAAAGTATTTATAGAATGCGGGGATGATGTATTTTTACCTGAAGTGTTGCTGATGTTGTTGATGATTTCTATGTACTGTGGTGAGGCAATGGACTCCAGGCTAAACTGTAGGACCTGAGGACATTCAACCGAGAAGTTGAAACATTATGCTAATAATGTTTTGTTTAGCACAAGAGAATTGGCTTTGTTTAGTCAGTACTAACCGGTGTGGCTGTGAATCTCTGGTCCATAACAAAGAGGGAGAAGTCTGTCACAGCCAGATGATAAGGGAAGCCAAGAGCTGCTGCTGTCATCACTCTCTCGTGGGCTTTATTCAGTTGGTTACACAGTGTGAACAGTTCCAGGCCACAGGTAAACTGGGACTAGCAGAGAGAAATTGTTGGTTACACAGTGTGAACAGTTCCAGGCCACAGGTAAACTGGGACTAGCATAGAGAAATTGTTGGTTACAGGCCACAGGTAAACTGGGACTAGCATAGAGAAATTGTTGGTTACACAGTGTGAACAGTTCCAGGCCACAGGTAAACTGGGACTAGCATAGAGAAATTGTTGGTTACACAGTGTGAACAGTTCCAGGCCACAGGTAAACTGGGACTAGCATAGAGAAATTGTTGGTTACACAGTGTGAACAGTTCCAGGCCACAGGTAAACTGGGACTAGCATAGAGAAATTGTTGGTTACACAGTGTGAACAGTTCCAGGCCACAGGTAAACTGGGACTAGCATAGAGAAATTGTTGGTTACACAACATAAAGTTCTAGGCCACAGGTAAACTGGGACTAGCATAGAGAAATTGTTGGTTACACAGTGTGAACAGTTCCAGGCCACAGGTAAACTGGGACTAGCAGAGAGAAATTGTTGGTTACACAGTGTGAACAGTTCCAGGCCACAGGTAAACTGGGACTAGCATAGAGAAATTGTTGGTTACACAGTGTGAACAGTTCTAGGCTACAGGTAAACTGGGACTAGCATAGAGAAATTGTTGGTTACACAGTGTGAACAGTTCCAGGCCACAGGTAAACTGGGACTAGCATAGAGAAATTGTTGGTTACACAGTGTGAACAGTTCCAGGCCACAGGTAAACTGGGACTAGCATAGAGAAATTGTTGGTTACACAGTGTGAACAGTTCCAGGCCACAGGTAAACTGGGACTAGCAGAGAGAAATTGTTGGTTACACAGTGTGAACAGTTCCAGGCCACAGGTAAACTGGGACTAGCATAGAGAAATTGTTGGTTACACAGTGTGAACAGTTCTAGGCTACAGGTAAACTGGGACTAGCATAGAGAAATTGTTGGTTACACAGTGTGAACAGTTCCAGGCCACAGGTAAACTGGGACTAGCATAGAGAAATTGTTGGTTACACAGTGTGAACAGTTCCAGGCCACAGGTAAACTGGGACTAGCATAGAGAAATTGTTGGTTACACAGTGTGAACAGTTCCAGGCCACAGGTAAACTGGGACTAGCATAGAGAAATTGTTGGTTACACAGTGTGAATAGTTCTAGGCCACAGGTAAACTGGGACTAGCATAGAGAAATTGTTGGTTACACAGTGTGAATAGTTCTAGGCCACAGGTAAACTGGGACTAGCATAGAGAAATTGTTGGTTACAGGCCACAGGTAAACTGGGACTAGCATAGAGAAATTGTTGGTTACACAGTGTGAACAGTTCCAGGCCACAGGTAAACTGGGACTAGCATAGAGAAATTGTTGGTTACACAGTGTGAATAGTTCTAGGCCACAGGTAAACTGGGACTAGCATAGAGAAATTGTTGGTTACACAGTGTGAATAGTTCTAGGCCACAGGTAAACTGGGACTAGCATAGAGAAATTGTTGGTTACAGGCCACAGGTAAACTGGGACTAGCATAGAGAAATTGTTGGTTACACAGTGTGAACAGTTCCAGGCCACAGGTAAACTGGGACTAGCATAGAGAAATTGTTGGTTACACAGTGTGAACAGTTCCAGGCCACAGGTAAACTGGGACTAGCATAGAGAAATTGTTGGTTACACAGTGTGAACAGTTCCAGGCCACAGGTAAACTGGGACTAGCATAGAGAAATAAATTGTTGGTTACAGGCCACAGGTAAACTGGGACTAGCATAGAGAAATTGTTGGTTACACAGTGTGAACAGTTCCAGGCTACAGGTAAACTGGGACTAGCATAGAGAAATTGTTGGTTACACAGTGTGAACAGTTCCAGGCCACAGGTAAACTGGGACTAGCATAGAGAAATTGTTGGTTACACAGTGTGAACAGTTCCAGGCCACAGGTAAACTGGGACTAGCATAGAGAAATTGTTGGTTACACAGTGTGAACAGTTCCAGGCCACAGGTAAACTGGGACTAGCATAGAGAAATTGTTGGTTACACAGTGTGAACAGTTCCAGGCCACAGGTAAACTGGGACTAGCATAGAGAAATTGTTGGTTACACAGTGTGAACAGTTCTAGGCCACAGGTAAACTGGGACTAGCATAGAGAAATTGTTGGTTACACAGTGTGAACAGTTCCAGGCCACAGGTAAACTAGGACTAGCATAGAGAAATAGCTTAAGCTGTTAGAGATACACCAGAATACACTCACCCTGTGGTCAAACAACTCCACTGATGTACTATCTGCTACAACCACTTGCCGAGGGTGTCCACTAAAATATGCACTGGTCCACTCATTCACGCTCTCAAAGCGGGCTGCTTTTTCTACTATTTTCCTGGGCCTACAAAAAGAAGCAATAATTAACAAAGCTCACATAATGTAGCTGATAACAACACACAGCCTTCAAGCTAACACTAAAGATTATGGCTGTTTTTAAGTTCCTGTTTGATAAATATGTAATAACTTCCAATAGGGTATTACACATTTTTAACTTTTGCAGTCATTTAAAAAATAACTTATTAAACTTAATAAAGGAACTAGTAACAAAATAAAAGAACTTGTAAGAATTTAAAAAGGAACACGTATGAAAACTAACATAGGATCTTGTAAGAGAACTTAATAAAGGAACTTTTTCTTCTTTGTTCTTAATTTTAATGTTGGAAGGGATTCCCCCAAACACAATTAAGTATATGTGTCAACTGGTTATGCACCATTTAGGTCGTTAACTCCAATTTCAGCCTGCTTTTCTTTTTTGGATTTGCTTCCAAAAACTTCCATAGCCGTTGTCAAACCAAGAACAATCTACAAGGCAGCAGCTGTTTGATTTTGGAGTTGTCTCTCCTAGAAGAGTGGCTGTCCCCAGCTGACAAGGCTCATCTGCCCGGGGGTTCAAACTCGAGATTTATCGGTTTAGCAACTGTGAGTTTTACCAACTCGACCATATATGTAGAAGAGAAACTTGTGTTTCAAATTAACCAGGTGGCTTGTATAAGATCTGAACAAGGGAACATGTAATTTTATTTAGAAAAGGAACTTGTGTGAGAAATTAATGAAGTAACTTGTATGAGAACTGAACAAAGGAATGTGTAATTTTATTTTGGAAAGGAACTTGTGTGAGAACTGAACAAAGGAATGTGTATGAGGACTTACGTGGAGTTAACATCCCAGAGATAAACACAGCCACCAGCAGCAGACAATAGGATTTCATTCTCCAAGTAGGGGCTGGTGAGTGAATAAAACAGTGTTATGTCTAGGGGCTGGTGAGTGAATAAACCAGTCAAGTCTAGGGGCTGGTGAGTGAATAAAACAGTCAAGTCTAGGGGCTGGTGAGTGAATAAAACAGTGTTATGTCTAGGGGCTGGTGAGTGAATAAAACAGTCAAGTCTAGGGGCTGGTGAGTGAATAAAACAGTCAAGTCTAGGGGCTGGTGAGTGAATAAAACAGTCAAGTCTAGGGGCTGTTGAGTGAATAGAACAGTGTCAAGTCTAGGGGCTGGTGAGTGAATAAAACAGTGTCAAGTCTAGGGGCTGGTGAGTGAATAAAACAGTCAAGTCTAGGGGCTGGTGAGTGAATAAAACAGTGTCACGACTACTGTGGTGAGTGAATAAAACAGTGTCAAGTCTAGGGGCTGGTTGGTGAGTGAATAAAACAGTGTCACGTCTACGGTGGTGAGTGAATAAAACAGTGTCAAGTCTAGGGGCGTGTGAGTGAATAAAACAGTGTTATGTCTAGGGTGGTGAGTGAATAAAACAGTGTCACGTCTACGGTGGTGAGTGAATAAAACAGTGTCAAGTCTAGGGGCGTGTGAGTGAATAAAACAACTGTTAATACTAAAAATTTAACCAATGTGAATGTATACTTGTGTGACCCCAAATACCTGAAAGATGTTGAGGTCACTGATATTTTCAAATCATTTGAGTCAGCTTGTTCAACAAATGACATCAGCGTTAAGTCCACACTCAGTAAAACACATTTCTGTTTCTGTCTCAGGCAAATTAAAACTGAAAAGATCCATATCCACCAGAAATTAATGATAAAAGCTAAAATGTTGCATAAAATTATGTTGCCAGATTATTAAGCAATCTAATATCACAAAACGCTAGTGAGGGTGAAGATTACAATCACATGATCTGAAACTAACTGCACTTTGTATTCATCAGCTAGCATAACAAAAACTGTGCAACAAATATGAAGAGCAAACAGAAAATACCTTTGTCTGGTGTTGTTAAAGACTTGCTAACAACTTGAAAGACAGGCCCACTGGATGAATACTGACTGTGCTGCAGGCCAGTTGGTACAACATTTGTTTCCTCATGTAGAACCTGGCTCAAACCTTGGTGGCAGTCAAGGATTGTTCACAGATGGTGAAAATTGACACTACTGCACTACTAGGCCGTTAGTATGTTTGGCAAAAATGTAAAGCAACTAGTGTAGTGGGCACAGAAAGGATACGTTGGGTGTATGTTTGGCAGAAATGTAAAGCAACTAGTGTAGTGGGGAACTGAAAGGATACGTATGTCCTGGAAACGGGGGCCTGAAGCATGAATAAGGAAGTCCCTCTCTGTAGTGGGTACTACAGACAACAAGCCACCAGAAAAATCTGGGTTAAACCCATTCAAACACTGCAAGTAAACAAAATTAGAAATTATTTGGCATCAGAGTTTAATATTTATAACTTTAAACCATATTTATTACTAGCAGAACATACATATTTGTTGTAAGCTTTTTGGACGTTCAAATACTTGGAAATGATGGTCTGCATGCCCCCATCACATTGAAACTGCTCAGTGTTTGATGGTTCGCCTGGGTTTTCGCAACACTGCCATACTAGCTCTTTCAATCTCATGATGTCCTTAGAGAATCTATCCTGAAAAATACACTTTCCTTGTCATCATTTTAAAATTCATCATAATTAATTATCCATCATTAACAGCATAATTGCCCACTTGAATATTGTATTTTTCATCACATTGACCATAAAGCTGAAGTAATATGTTAAAAAATCAAATATTTATTAATAGTCTCGAACTTACTGCAGGATTATTGTGTATTAAAGTCTTGTAATGCGGCAGAGTTGTAACCAAGTATTTAAGATCATTCTGGTTCTCTACAAAGTTCTTCACACCCATAATATAATCACACTCTTTCCAGTTGTCTAGTGAAGAGAAAAAGTTTGCTAAAAATTTAATGACGTCAAAAAATATTGACATCCTGAGATATCATTTTAAAATATTTATAAAATACAAACTTAATCATCTCGACGTACCCATCAGAGGATGTTCAAACAAAGGCAGGGTTGGGACCACGTCAGAAAGATTTGCCAGACTGCCCTGTCCTTTTTGTGGGCACATTGTAACTTGCTGGGCTTCATCATCTACAGTGGTATCAACATTTTTATAGGAGCCATATTCAGCAAACATGAATCGGTGATTGAGCTTCAGTCCTGCATGTTGACAGGCATGTACAGGTAAATAATGATTTGGTAACTCCATTTATTCTTCTACCAGATTTTACTGCTACATAATGTTTAGGCTGTAAAATACCACCAGGTAATATTTCCACTCTATAAATGATGTACAGTACAGTCAGCCTACACTGGGGAAAAATATCAATTTACTTATAAAATTACTAATAAAATATTAATTTAGCTAGAGTAATCTAGACTCTAGTAGCTTAGCTAGACTTTCGTACTAATTTAATTACTTTGCATTGACTACCAGATCTAGCTTACTAATCTACTTCAAGTACTAACTCTAAGACACTACAATTAGTTTACTATGTAGCGGTCTGTAAATTAATTTAATAATTTGAAAGGCCTATAGAATTAGATCTTTAAATAATTTATAATTTCAATGAATTGATAAATATTGAAAGAAAGTCATTCAATTAATTTTTTTTTAATTTTATGTTTGACTTTCCGGTATTTTATCGTTTTAGGTATGTAAAATCGCCCGCAACTAGTAATATGAAAAACAGGTGACTCCTTAAATTTTTATAGCCTAATTATTTCACATTTTGTGGAGGATTTTTGTTTTGAAAAATACAAAAATATTTCCTTGTTTCATTTATGTACCTGATTTTAAACAATTGAATTAAAACTTTTCAGTAATAGTAATTAATAAAGACTAGCGATGTTTTCATCAGATGCAACCATGCTCATTTACTATAGCAGCCATCTTGTTTATTTTTTTTATTGTAAACTTTTAGCGCAAGATTCAGGGGAAGGCACTCTAACTCACAGATGGCCGCTTTTTATATAGCAAATCCTGCTGGCAAACACTGCTGTTTAAAGTTAATTTCTTGTCTATATTGATATATTTAGCCATTGATTTAGGTTTATTATTTATTTATCTATAATATTTGACACAAATAGGCCTATATCACAATATACTTCTATCTATCGTTTTAGGTACATAAAATCGCCCGCAGCTAGATTCTAGTAATGTATGAAAAAGTTACCTCATTGTCAAGGCTTTAATAGAAGTATATAGGCCTAGGCCCTTAGGGCCTACCTAGTAAATAATAAATAAGTATGGTTGCATCTGTTGGAAACATCGCTAGTCGTCTTCATTTATTACTGAAAAGTTTTAATTCAATTGTTTAAAAACAGGTAGATCTACATACTACATAGATCAAGTCACTCATGGTGATAGTAGTACTATCATAGTTAGTATGATAGTAGCCTACATATTACTACATAAATCATAAATGAAACAAGGAAACATTTTAATTTTTGTATTTTTCAAAACATAACCTCCTCAAAATGTAATAATTATTAAAATTTAAGGAGTCACCTGTTTTTCACATTACTAGTCGCGGGCGATTTTACGTAGATATACCTAAAACGTCTAAACTCAAAACGATAGAACCGAGATTCCTTCTCTTCTACTATCGATTTAGAAATCGATGATTTTTAACTTTGATTAACAACAAAAAATGTAGATCTATCAACAATTTATTTTTCCCCACACAATTTCTGATTCTAATTTACCGCAATTCTATAAATATTAACTAGAATCTAGCAGTTATGATTGAGTTAGTCATAACAAAGTCAATAACTATTAACAATGTTTGAATTAGTTCGTCAGACTTTCTGTATTTCGCCCTCATGCTCATGCTAGGCAAAGTTTAAAAAACTGACGTCCTGGGTGCCAGATAAAAATAAAACAATTTTATCATAATGTTAATGGTGTCCTGATTGGTAAAATTGGTGCCTAGAATTCTGATATTTTACTCCCTCTGCAGTCTTCATTTATGAAGGTAGACCTATCTTAGGTGTACAGAGAACCGCTACTTTATTTTCCTTTGTAAAAGTAGTTATTTCCAAGCAGCTAAATAAATCTATATAATATTTAACAACATTACTTTAAAAATAGTTTTTAGTTATGTTAACCTGTTAACCTTAGCCTTAGTTATTGTTCTTGGAGGATTGTTTTGGTTATAATCAGAGTTTCTTTCAGGCATCTCTTGGTCTACTGCCCCATGAACGAAATGAAATTCATATAGAAAATATATACTTTTAACTGTGTCCGCCCCCTCCCCCAAAAAAATTTCAAGTGCCCCCCCCCCCCCCCCCCAGAGAAAAAAGTCTGGAAGAAACTCTGGTTATAATAACTAATATTATTTCCTAGAAATATTTGTCTCCATTTTTGTGTCTTGCCAAAAAGACTATGGATTGGCAATGATAACTTTAGATCTCTCTATCTTTAATATGCAGTGCCCTAGGATGTTGAGTAACCAGTTTCAGCTTCCATACATTGTCTCAGCTATACAAACACATACACCTTTTTATCTAGCTAAATATTAAAGTAAACCATTTTTGAATAATGTGGGGATATTTGATTTGATCAAACAGAAGTGCACACATTGAGTGTTTCAAATATAATTTATTGGCAAAAAAAACAGTGCACAAACATCATCTCCCCAAAAAAAATACACCCAGCCCAATACAGTTTATAATTTATTTTTTAAAGTAACCATCACCTCTATTAAAAATTGAAGATGTGCATATGTATTATGTAAATAAACAACCTGAAATAAATTCAAGTACTATGTACATAACATGCCATGTAATAAGTAAGTAGGTTTCACATCAAGTAAATTACTTTGACTATACATTCCACAGTAACACACCCTATATTAATGGCTGCATTATTAGAGTAACCCACCCTATTACAGGTATAACTAGCTATGCTAGTCTACTAGTTCTGTAACTGCTCATCTTCCCTAATTTGACATGAATAATTTCTAGACACTCAACATTGCTGACAGATTCTATATCATATTGGTTTCCACACAATATATGTGTTTATAATATCTTTATGTGGCATTAATAATACACTCATTTTACATTACAAAATCACAAAAAATAAATCCAAACATTTTGTTTCACATATTTTTAAAAATATGAGTTGTCACTTAAGCAAATTTTTTTTGAAAACTATAATCATGATTAAATCAATCAGGTCATTTTGTGATGGAAAAAAATTAGTTGTAGAAGCAAAAATTATATCCTGTGACAAGTTTTGGTTTTTTAATTTAAATTTTACATTAATTACAGGCCAATAAATAATTTAGATTAAACAGTAGCTGTGAAAGTTAAAACTATGTTACATTTTGACTTTAACTGCAACTGTTCTTTCCATTCAACAAATCGTATCACAGATCACCTCCAACAAAAGGTTTTTTGTTTATCCTCTAACAGTTGTTTCATTAGCCATGTTTAGCATCTGTCGCCAGTCATCTTGAATGTGGTAAGGGTTGGCTGGATCTCTTTGTCCTAATGCATCAGACAAAAGATTTGGCCGAAAACTCTTTTCTCTAGGGGCAACATAACCCACGTGTGAGGACCTGTATTCTGTTTTGTCTTCAAACGGCATCTTTGAAGGCTGGTAATCATTGTCTGGCTTTACAAGCTAAAAGAAATCAAGAACATTTTTTAAGAAATCTTTAACAATGTTCAAACTTTATTTTCATTTTTGATTTATTGGCTGTTCTAAACAAAAAGAACTATACCCTTCGTTGTTCCATATGTTTGGGCACAAATTCCGTACTGTAACTTGTATTGTTCTCAAAAGTGCCTGACATAGCTAAAGCATTTGAAGAACCAATTTTAGCCATAGGAGGTCTTTGCCCATGAACTTCTTTGTATGTCTCCCTGCAAGTTATAAAACAAATCTCTTTGTAGAACAGAAAACTAAGAAGCTAATGTTTTCAATTATAAACTTAATTGCAATGGTTTAACTTGACAAACCTGTTGACAGTAGTTAAGTCCATTGTTCCATCAGGCTTGACATATGGCTGTTGTTTGTGCTGAAATCTTTCTCCCAGGGGCCATTGTTTGAAGCTGCTGCCAAAAGTTGTGTCATTTTCTATTGGTATGTCAGGCTTGTGGTAGTTTTGATCTGGCCTGAAGCTTTCTCTCTTTGGCTGGTACACACCAATGTAGGACTGGTTGGTGATGGTTCTTGAATCCAGGGGTGCTGACGGGGGCTTGTGAGTCTCCTTAGCCCTAAGCTGCCTCGGACTAATCTGGTGTTCCGTAAATTTGTCCCTGTAATCAGTTCTGTCATCAAATGGAACATCAGGTCTAAAATAATCATTTTTAGGCTTGTAGTTCATCCTGGGGAATATGCCATGCTCAGTGTAAGCGTCTTGCGTGGTGGTCGTTGAATCCATGGGGGCAGAAGGTGGAATGTAGTCATTTTTTGCTTTTACAATCTCACGTTTTACTGGTGGGGGGTGCTGAAAGTCTCCTTGATAATTGGTATCTTTTCTCATGGACCCAAAACCTTTTAATAAGCCAGATGATTCAGGTCTGTTTATTGTGTGTTTTTGTAAGGCATGCTCATGGAATGTGGTGGAGTTTGTTGTGGTCAAGTCCATGATCCCATCAGGCTTATGGTAAGCCTCTGCCTTATGTTTGTATCTATCTGGCAGTCTGTGCTCTTTGAAGTCTGTGTTTGTGATGCTGGCACCCTGGAAGGGCTCTCCTGACTGGACGAGATTAGTCTCAGGTTTAAAGCTCTCACGTTTAGGCTGGAAAGGTCCTTGATAAGACTCCCGCACAGTTGTCCTGTCATCTAATGGCACCGTGGACGGCTTGTAGACCTCCCTAGGCCTCATCTCTCTGGGGGTGATTTTATGTGGAACATACGAGTCCCTGTACCCAGTTCTGTCATCTATGGGAACATCAGATTTCATTGGAGCCTCTCTAGGCTTAAAGTTTTCTCGTGGTCCAAGCTCGCGTTCAAAGAAATCAGCACGGTGTGTTGTTTCATTGTTCATAGGTGCTGTAGGAGGCATATATTCATTTTCTGGTTTCATATTCTTACGACGCTCTATAGGCCGCTCTATGTAATCTCCTTGATAATTTGATTTGCTGTTCATTTCACCAGAGCCCCAGAGCAAGTGTGAGGAACCTGGCTTTTCAATGGTGTGTTTTTGTAGTGGGTGTTCTTTGTAGTGGGTATTGTGACTTGTTATCAAATCCATATCTCCTAATGGCTTCTGGTACTGCTGTTGTTTTGGAATGTCCCTTCGATGAACTTCATGTGCCTTGAAGTCTCGGTTCATTGTTGTGCTGTCATCAAAAGGGGCATCAGATTTCATGATGTTGGTGTCTGGTTTAAAGCTGTCACGTTTGGCTTGATACGGACCTTGGTAGGAATCCTGGGCTGTTGTCCTGGAATCTAATGGTGCCGTAGGTTTTGTATAAACATCTTTGGGGCGCTGCTGTCGAGGATTGACCTTGTACTCTGTGAACTTATCTCTGTAATCTGTTCTGTCATCGAAGGGCTGGTCGGAATGAAATGGACCATCTTTGGGCTTGAAGTTTTCTCTGGGCATTGGCTGCCTGCCATAGAAGTCAGCCTGGTACTCTGTCTGAGATTCCATGGGAACAGTGGGGGCCTGGTAATCATTTTTTGGCTTGAGAGGAGACACTCGATTGATTGGATATTCAAGGTAGTCCTTGGTGTAATTGGTATCTTTAGACATCTCTCCTGATCCTCGGAGTAGATGGGATGAATCAGGTTTGTGTATCTCCTGTTTGTGTAGTGGGTGCTCAGTAAACTGCATGGAGTTGGTGGTGTTGAGGTCCATGTAGCCATCTGGACGTTTATATTTTTCTCCTTCATGCCTGTATCTCTTGGGTAACTCATGGGGCTTGTAAGCAAGGGTATGAGTGGTTTCACTCTCTATTGCAGCATCCGACTTGACAGGGTTCATGTCTGGCCGCAAACTTTTCTGCTTTGGTGCGTACACACCCTTGTAGTCCCTCTGCTGGATGGTGGTGCTATCAATGGGTACTGTAGGCTTCTGCCATTGTTCTTTCTCACGATAAAATTTTTGTGGAAGTGGGTGCTCTTTGTATGTATCTTTGTAGTCGGTGCTTGCATTGAATGGTTCCTCTGAATGAATTGGTCTAAAAGTGAAACAAAACAGGAAGTTGCCAGGTGAAACAGTGATTGAAGTAGAAGAAGAATTGGGTAATTAAAAAACAGCTGCTGATGGCCACTCACTTATTATTGGGTCTATGATCCACACGTGGTGAGACCTGGTGTTCTTTATAATCATTCATGATGGTTGTCTTTCCTTCAAAAGGCTGGGCTGGTGGTTGCCACTGATGTATTTCTTTGGGACTCTTCTTAGGTAATTCCCACTCACGGTAGTCGTCTGGCAGAAATATAAAGCATGACAAGAATAGTTTTAGATGCTTCAGTTTTTTTATCCCATTGTAAATGAATATCTTCTTTGAATATATTAGTTCAAATTGTTTATCTTTTTACTTAGGTCACAATTTATTTGCAGGTAGGTGGGGAGGTTTATAGTCAAATCTTAGAACTTAATTTAGACTTATTTCTTAAGCAATGATTTATTTTAAAATTTCAAGATAATAAATTTCCAATGATGATGCAAGAATATATAATTTTCATTCAAATAAGATATTAAATTAGTCTCTAAATATTGATTTAATGAGTACTTTATTCAATAATGCAATAGGAGATTACAAGATTGATAACTAGCAAACACTGGATCAGGCAGGTGAGTTTTGTCCACAAATGTTCCACACCGGAAAGCTGACCATGGACTCCAAAGAGGGTCAGACAATTGTAATTCAGTTGTGTATGTGTGTGTGTGTGGGGGGGGGGGGGTGGGGTGGGGTTCAACTTAAAAACAAATGGATGGGAAAAAAATTGATTGGATTTTAAAGCTTATATATCTATTTACACCTTTATCTTTACAGCATCTACTAATTGCTTTAGAAAATAAAACAATTTTTAAAACCTTTTTAATAAAAAGCTGCTAAATGCAAGAACAAAAAAGAAAATAATCATAAAAATTTTTCTTTAACTGTAGCAGAAACTAGATTCCTAGATCAACTAAAACATTTACTTTTTCTACTATAGCTAAAGAAAACTTTTGTACTTATTTAAAAGCTTGTCATTATTAAAGTTTTAATAATTGTTTTATTGTTAAAATTAGAAGCTATAAACCTTGTAAATGTTAACCTGTTTTCTTACATGTTTTCTATAACCATGGTCTGACATACCAGCTTACCTCGATAAGAAGGTTGCGCATCAAAGGCAGCTAGAGGAGATTTTTCAAAATCTGGCTTGTATGCTTTTCTTTTTTCTATTGTCCTTTCTAAAATATTTAAATTTTAAATTGCAAGTTTGCCTTAATTAAAACTGGGATTTTCTTTACTAAAATGTGCATCTTAAATTTAAAGTTATACTTTAAAATAATGTTACCTTCTTTTTTTTTTCTGAATAATTACATTTTAAAAATAGAACCCATACTCTCTCAAAGAAATTTAATGGGTGTAATGCAAACACAATGTATTCAAACTTTAAGTGGGTGACCTAAATACAAATTCAAAGAATGCACGTGCAGAAAACATTAAATAGGTGTATAATGTTGACATTACATGCCCGGATACTAAATGGAATCAGAGAATTGCATGTTTCATTGTGATGTTTTTTTTAAATTAATTGTTGACAATGTCTGCATCCACGGAGTACTTCACTGGGAGGATCGTCAATTTGTGCCATTTCATAAACTAGTGCCTCCATATACTGGTAAATATTTGAGAAGCAAAATGTTGTAGTGTTGAAGATCAAAGTATGATTCTTACCAGGGAACTCATTTTGATAGGATGAGGTAAAGTCGTGATGACCCTCAGGTCTTAAATTTCCATCAACAGGCCGTGCCCTTTCACGCTTTTGCAAAGGATGTTCTGGGTAATCTCTCCTGCACAACAAAAAACAAAGTAAGAGAGCACTTACATTAACAATCATTTGAAATATTGGTGTTTAAATTAAAAATAAACAAATTCAGATGCAATAACAGCAGCTTGGCTTGTTAAGTTAAACATTATGTAACCAGGTTGTGTAAAATTTAAGGATTTATGTTTCTTACACCATGCAGAACTACTTGGTAAACTACTTGGTTAAAAAATTAACCTTAGCCTAAAACTTAATTAAATAATTAATTAATTAAAGAGCTAAACCCAACCATGTTTTGTCAGGCTAAACAAATGGTACACTGAATTTCTAAACTATAACATTATCAAAGTTGACACCCAAGAAAGACGACACCAAAAACAGTTAAAAAAAACATACTTTAACTGCTTAATCTGTTGTACATGTTTGTAAAGGTTCATTTTTACCTAAGTGTGAGGTGGCTCTTATTTACCCAGTTTTTTTATGTGAGAGATGGCTCTTATTTACCCAGTTTTTTAATGTGTGGGATGGCTCTTATTTACCCAGTTTTTTTATGTGAGAGATGGCTCTTATTTACCCAGTTTTTTTATGTGAGAGATGGCTCTTATTTACCCAGTTTTTTAATGTGTGGGATGGCTCTTATTTACCCAGTTTTTTTATGTGAGAGATGGCTCTTATTTACCCACTGTTTTGTATGTGAGAGATGGCTCTTATTTACCCAGTTTTTTTATGTGAGAGATGGCTCTTATTTACCCAGTTTTGTATGTGTGGGATGGCTCTTATTTACCAAGTTTTTTATGTGAGAGATGGCTCTTATTTACCCAGTTTTTTAATGTGTGGGATGGCTCTTATTTACCCAGTTTTTTTATGTGAGAGATGGCTCTTATTTACCCAGTTTTGTATGTGTGGGATGGCTCTTATTTACCCAGTTTTTTAATGTGTGGGATGGCTCTTATTTACCAAGTTTTTTATGTGAGAGATGGCTCTTATTTACCCAGTTTTGTATGTGTGGGATGGCTCTTATTTACCCAGTTTTTTATGTGTGGGATGGCTCTTATTTACCCAGTTTTTTATGTGTATACACTATACACATTTGTATAAATACATACCTGAATACTGTTTCTGACTCAACTTTTCCCTGACCTCTCACCACTTCATTGGAAGGCCTGTAACTTGTAGTTTTTTGAATTGGGTATTCTTGGTAGCGCTTTACATATTCAGACCGTGGCCCATTGTTCAAAAGGCTGTCACTACTGGCATCTCTGTTAAATAATGGTAAATGGCCATTTTGATTAATTAAGTGGAGTAAAAAAATATTGTTGTCAAGTTTCTATCGATGATCACTTTAAAAATACTGTAGCTAATGAAGCGTATGTAGTTATTCTTTGTTACCAATATAATGCTTTAACAATTATTTATGTAGGCCTGCATAATTATTTTTTTAGTTTTTAAGTAGGCTTTCATTGTTATTTATTTATTACCCTTAAAAAATATCTGTTTTGATTAAGGCCTGGTGAAGTAGATTTAGCACACAATTTGTTAGTGGATTGTAATAATGTCTGTCAACTGAAATGAGTTTACAAGCTGTGACGTGTAGTAAGAGACATGACCAGATTGTATGTAGTAGAGGATCTAACATTAAATTTTAGGCTTTTATAAAGCAGTTGTGTACTCAACCACTTTAGTACCTAGAAAATCTGAGGTTTAATGGGTCCTTAATATTATTAATGACTCATTAAGTCTTCATTATTAATGATGAACATAAGGAGGCATAATAACATAAAATATTAAGTAGGCTCAGTGCTGAAAGTATAATATATTATTTAGTCCAAAATGTAATTATCTAAACTATTCTAAACTTCTAAACATACCAGAGAATCTTTATTGACATGATTATAAATCATAAGCCCCTTTTCTTACTCTATAATATTAAAAAAACTATAGGCCTAATTTTTTAACAACTTTAAAAGTAAAAGAAAGAGGACCAGACCCACATCTTTCACTGAATTTAGTTTATAAAAACACAAAATGTATCCAGTTCTTTGAATGAGTTAAGTCTATATTTACACTTAAACTTGAGTTGATAGAAGGCGGATGTAGCGTTATCATATCTCTGTTAGCTTCAGCCCAATGCACACTGATCAGGAAAATCAAATTATTGATGAGTTCTCGGGAAACAAATAGCTGTCTCCAAGCAACACGTTAAAGTAAAACAGCGCTGAATTAATTTAGTAGTCTTACCGCTGTAGTGGCATTTGTTTGGCTGTTGAATTAAATCAATAGGCCTGCACGACGGTTCATCAGTTTGTTTTGCAATCAGTTTGTCGTCGTTATGCCCAAGTCAACGACAAATTGACACAGAATGAGTAATGAGTCAGTAATGACGATGGTTCACTTTTCTGAATAAATTCATTTGAGTTATTTTCCGCACCACAAATTCTTTTGATGAAAACTCATAACGGATAAGTAATAAATACTTATTCAATGCAGAGTAGTAGAGACTCTCAATTCAATGGTCACAAAGTCGATGTTAGTTTAGTGTCAACTACTGTCAACCACACAGTTAGGCTGGTAACTATGGACGCGTGACCTGGCATTATGACTTTGACACATAGAGACACAGGAGGGCCAATGAAAAGTGCGATGGCTTTGAGAAATAATAACAAAGTTAATTACCAGAAGATGTCGAGATTGAATTTGCAAAAACTATATCTTATTTTATATTATTTATTTAACTGCTAAAATATAATATTATAATTGTAATGCTGCTCCTCGCGAGTTTATTACTTTATTTGTATAATTGTAGATATGTGTTTTAGGTCCCAGTTTGTTATTAATTTAATTTTAAAATTAAATTAAAATAATGTTCCAATATTTCTTCTACTGGATTATAATATTATTTTTGTATTTATGAAGAAAATAAAATTAAAGCTGCAAATCAATTTATTTCAAGAACAAATAATTTTTTTTAAACTAGAATATTGAGCTATTTAATTTTTTAATCAGATTTGTGTCACAGAAGATTTTGTATGAAGATTTTAAAAAGTGAGCCCGTTTTAATGAAATAGCAGAATAGACACTCCTTTCTCACAGTGACTGACACCAACCCTTCTTGCTTCACTCGGATCTTTACAAATACGCAAGATCTGATTTATCATAGAAGGCTGTATTTTTTTTTCTGTAACATCAACATTAGCCTGTAACAAAGTGCACCACTTAGCACCTCTGGTAAAAATGTGCAAACTGCATTGGCGTCGGCAGGAATTTGTTTTTCTCATGGTGTATTTTCACAAAAAAATCTCACACACATATATATATATAGATCTACATTCCAGCCTTTCCTAATCAGTGTTTTTTCAGGCATTCAGACATCTCTCTGCGAAAAAATGTAGAACTATAATTTCTATAGAGAATATATTATTTAACCTCCCCCTTAATTTTTGAACTCCTCCCGGGAGGAGATTGTCTGAAAGAAACTCTGTCCCCATCTTACCCTAAGCCACCTGTAGGCAGGCATATTAATTGTATGTAAATCAATAGAGCCTGCCATATTCTTAAGTGACAACGTAGCTACCCTGTAGCCTTTCTTCCACACGATGTTTTTATATTTGTGAAATCTAACATCAAATAGCTCCCCCCCTCCAAATATTTTTTTTAAAGCACCAAAACCGTTAATCAATACTCAATAGCAATCGACAATCATTGAGATATTCAAACAGAGCTGATCACACGTGTAGTTAGAGTTTTCAGGTGGAAATAGACACAGAGTCCGTGTCAATAGATTTGTCGTCACTCCAACATTTACTGTCACACAACATTATGTTCACTCCTGCCGTTAGCCCTCACGTTTCTATAAGAAAAAATCGATCAGCTCGATATATCGATCAACTGAAGTTATTTCAGGCAGACACAGATAGTCTGGCACCATAAGGCTTATGTACATGTCGTCTCTTTAAATCACTAGGCTACAGACTATAGGCCTGTAACACGAAAGGGGGGGGGGGGCATCTGTCTATCATGTTGAAGAATGGGTTGGTGGAAGGTATAGAGCTAAAGCTGTGTTATATAGAGCTTGTTAAATTATCTTTATCATTCTTCATTTTCATTTTTCTAATTTTATTTTGTTTCGCTTAAGAAATGGTTAGAGTTGGGGTGGGGGGGGGGGGGGGTACGTAAAGTAACCTATAATTATAAGGCCTTCACAGACGACTTTCGCTTTCTTTTTCTATAAAAAAAACGTTTGCGACTTTGGAGCTGTTTCGCTATTATAGAGGTCGTAAGCGATTTGATTTTAATATGTCGAAGTGTAATATGTTGTGGTTTGTAGGTGGGGTGAGGGTTACTTCTTATATAGTCTCGCGATGGGGGGGGGGGGGGAATGGAGGGGCCATCGGTTTGTTGTAGAGGCCTAACAGGCCTATATGTGGTAGGGTGTGTAAAATGTCCCATTCTGTACCCGACACTATAGGATGGTAAAAAATAGTCCTGACAGGAATTAGGCCAATTGATGTTCAGACCATCATAAAAAGGTGAAATTAGCCAATGGTTGTCTTAGTTTAAGTTAGTACTACTCGACAACGTTCGTTTTCTATAGTGATCGACATTTAGGCTACTCTAAACGTTTATCATTTTCTGTTGAAACCAAGAAATCATTGGACGGTGCGCAACACCTTTCTACACACACGACCCCTGCCGGTGATGACCTGCCCTGGAAAAAGTTCTGTCGGTATTTCACTATTTAGACAACCACACAATGGCAGCACGGGGAACTGTGTGGCGGATTTCTATAGCGAGATAAGATTAAAACAGCTTAAAGAGCCGTGAAACACGCGCAGAACACTCCTTGTTGTAGGTGGCGATAGGTCAGTCAAGCATAGTCTACGTTTGTCTACACAACAAAACGGCATACACTTTCTAACGCCGAGATAGAATCGCTTTGTCATTCTTTGATGGCTGACATTTTAAAACAGACCGATGCTGATTGGTGACGAGTGTAACAGTGTTAGGTTTGTGGCGAGAAAAAAACAAGAGCTGTTGAATTTTTTTTTTCCGCCTCAGACACGCAGAGTTTCTTCCAGGCATCTCTTCGGGGGGGGGGGGGGGCTTGCCCCCCCCCCCCCCCCCCCCCCGAAATTTTTTTACCGCCCCCCCCCCCCCCCCCCGAACGAAATGAAATTTATATAATTTATATAGAAAATATATACTTTTAACAGTGTCCGCCCCCCCCCCCCCGAAGAAAGTCTACCGCCCCCCCCCCCCCCGGAGAAAAAAGTCTGGAAGAAACACTGCAGACACGTAATTTATAGCGTCAGTTGTGTGTTCGCTTTAGTATTACAGTTTTCATCATCGGCTTGTGAGGACTGATACAGATTTACAATAGTAATATTTCTTTCTTACTTGTAGTCTGCTTTCATTCATTTAAGATGGTTTACTTATACATAGATCTAATACAAAACGTCTAAATATAAAGAGCTGTTCAAAACACAAGCAGTCGACCGTAGTTTATAGTAGATCTGTATGTCAGAGAAAAATATGAACTCAAAACCTTATAAAGTTTCCACTAATGCCTGTTTTTTTTCTTCACGAAGTCGGAAGTTGGCCTACCACTGCTTACAATTAAATCAATCATTTATCCATTGATTATTTTATGTCATAAAAAGATATTGAGTTTAAAATTAAAACTTTCTCTATGCTAGATTTTTTTCTTTGACATTATAAGAAAGACAACAGTAGGAAAAATGTCAGTTTTTATAGCTGGATTCGCTTTTTTAACCCGCAGATTTTCCAGTGTTTTTTAATTCCCTTACCTGGCCTCTTGTTACTGGCAACGGTAAGGAACGATAACTCACCCAGCGGAACCAGTTATGTCCCTTGATGTTGTTGCGTTGCCCAGTGATTTTAAACAACACACTTGCACTGTTCCTTGACTTTGTGACCCTCGATGTTCTTCAAACTTTAATCAATTTGATCATCTTACTGTTATCGAGTCAATATATTTAGTACAGTGGTCACTGTTTTTTTTTTTAAATACCCCACAATATATATTTAATATTATGTAAAGTGAGACACTAATATACTTAACAAAAAACACAAACATCATGAGCTACCTTCACACAAGTTTTATTTTTATATACAACTTTATATTTGAACATTATACTGACTCGTATTTCAAGTCTTGTTTGCGTTGACAGTTCAATTATACATAACCAAATTGTATAGGTAGGTTTTATTAGAACAATATTTCTAGGGATTATATATTGCAAGATATCTGATCAGAGTTAAATACAAAGCACTAGAGAAAAAATGATCGGCAGCAGATGCAGGCTGTGTCCATTAACATGTGCAGGTGGTTTATCACACTGGGAATGGCTGCATCATCATCACAGTCTTCATTAACAAACAAACTCGGATGCATGTACGCACATTAAACAATTAGAATTAGTAGGTTGATTAACACCGCCTGGGCTACATAGATTTCCATAAAACAATTTCATTAGTAAACATAAATGTTGGCCCCACCTACAACTTCATTAGCAAAGATAAATGTTGGCCCCACCTGAGTTACAAATTGCAGATCACCCTTGAGGTGACCGCCCCACCCCTCAATTAAAGCTTACACAGAACAGAGCCTAGTAGTAGTGAATCACATTTGTTCCAACATTGAAGTCAAAGCAACCAAAATAATATAAATATAAAATAGAAATTCTCCAAAAGGACAGAGAGATGGTGTATATGAATGAAAACAGTTTTGGGGTTAAAAGATCTATGATGTTATACATTCTAATCCAATAGCTAGTTCAAACAAAAGCTGGATGGTAAAAAATGATACTTTTTTTGTCTTGTCTATAGTTTTCTATGTTTTACCAAGTTAATGCAAAACAATACATAATATTAAGTCACGTAATCTAGCATGACAAAATTAATGTAGGCTCTAGTTATAAAAACATTAACAATTGCATAATATTGAATAGATTTTACCATTAATTTCAAAAGTAATAATTAAAATTGAATTTTGTTTTTATCTTTTAGAATATCTGTCTAGAATCTAATCTACAATTGAAATAATAAATGTAAAAGTAAAAGAAAATCTTGGCTAGACTCGTGTTCACTCAAGCAGCGACCATAGCTGCTGGAATTTTGGGTATACCAGAGCTGGAGTGATGGAGCGAGCTGGTCTGCTCAAAGACAGGCATGTACTGCTTGTGTCCTCGGCTATCTGTCTCCACATAGGTGTAGCGTGAGCTGTTGGTATCAATGATGGCTGCTGGACAAATATCGGCCTGCTTCCTGACATACTCGGTTCTGTACATTGTGGTGTCATCAAAGGGTGCATCGCTGGTCAAAGCTGAGGCATCTGGCTTCATGCTCTTTGTCGGAGCGATGGAATGAGGGATGTAGTGTGCCTTGTAGGTTGGAGTGCCATCAAAGGGAATGTTGTTGGGGACCCAGCCATCCCTTGCTTTAGGCTGCTCTCGCTGTATCCCCCAGGGTTTGTAATCACTCTTGTAGTTGGTCAGCCCGTTAAACTCCCCTGGGATCATGACCCGTCCCTCCCCTGGCTTCATAATGGCCACCTTCTGGACTGGGTGGGGCTTGTACTGCAGACGGTGGGTGGTGTTGTGGTCCATCTCCCCCTCAGGCTTCTTGTACTGGTCCTGGTGATGCACGTAGGGCCTCTCTCCATTCCATCTCCTGTAATCATTCTTAAAAGTGGTCAGGTCGTCCAGCGGGGCGTCGGACTGGAAGGCTTCAGATGATGGCTTGCAGGATTCAGTTTTGGGAGCGTTCTTCTTGGTGTAATCTCTGTTAAACGTGGTCATCCCATCAAACGGAGCATTGGGCGCCTTGTACAGATCCTTTTCTCTGACATCACGGGGCTGCAGGGGGTGGCGAATGTAATCATCACGGTAGCCTGTGTTGCCATCAAAAGGTGCATCCGACATATGGTGGCCCTCGGCCGGCCTCATGCTCTTGCGGGGCAGCTCATTGTACTTTTTGAAGTCGCGCGTGAAAGTACTTTGGCCCTCAAATGGTTGTGATGGAGGGACCCAGCCATCTGGGGCTTTAGCTTGATGTCTCTCTATGGGCCACTTGCGGTAGTCAACTATTTAGGTCAAGACAAAACACAACTTGAATAGTACACAGTCAAACATTTTCAATGGACATAAAGCAAAAACATCTGAATAGTACAGAGTCAAACATTTTCAATAGACATAAAACAAAAACAACTTGAATAGTACAGAGTCAAACATTTTCAATAGACATAAAACAAAAACAACTGAATAGTACAGAGTCAAACATTTTCAATAGACATAAAACAAAAACAACTGAATAGTACAGAGTCAAACATTTTCAATAGACATAAAGCAAAAACAACTGAATAGTACAGAGTCAAACATTTTCATTGGACATAAAACAAAAACAACTGAATAGTACAGAGTTAAACATTTTCAATAGACATAAAGCAAAAACAACTGAATAGTACAGAGTCAAACATTTTCATTGGACATAAAACAAAAACAACTGAATAGTACAGAGTTAAACATTTTCAATAGACATATAACAAAAACAACCAAATAGTACACAGTCAAACATTTTCAATAGACATAAAACAAAAACAACTTGAATAGTACAGAGTCAAACATTTTCAATAGACATAAAACAAAAACAACTTGAATAGTACAGAGTTAAACATTTTCAATAGACATAAAACAAAAACAACTTGAATAGTACACAGTCAAACATTTTCAAGAGTCAAAGTCTTGTCAACTAGGGACTGTTGTTAAAATCTTGTCAACTAGGGACTGTGTAGTTAAAACCTTATCAATTGGGGATTGTGCTGTTAAAATCTTGTCAAGTGTGCTATAAAAAAACTCACTCTTGTATGTAGGCTCTCCTTCAAACCTGGCGGGGAGTTGTCTCTGGCCATCATGTTTGATCATTTGGGCTGGTGGCGCATGCTTTTCTGTTGAACAAATGTTGGTTGTTGAACAATTGTTGGTTGTTGAACAAATGTTGTTGTAGAACAAATGTTGTTTGTTGAACAAATGTCGTTTGTTGAACAAATGTTGTTAGTTGAACAAATGTTGTTGTTGAACAAATATTGTTGTTGAACAAATGTTGTTGTAGAACAAATGTTGTTTGTTGAACAAATGTCGTTTGTTGAACAAATGTTGTTAGTTGAACAAATGTTGTTGTTGATAAACTTTGGTGGGCAGATAACATTGGACTCAGAATATAAGTTGTGTGAAATCAGAATGGTAAACAGCAATCTCAGATGGAGAAAATAAGATCTGTTTGTTGGAGCTTACCTGTGTAATCTCTATGGTAAGATGTCACCACTTACCTGTGTAATCTCTTTGGTAAGATGTCACCACTTACCTGTGTAATCTCTTTGGTAAGATGTCACATAATATTGCTTACCTGTGTAATCTCTTTCGTAAGATGTCACATAATGTTGCTTACCTGTGTAATCTCTATGGTAAGATGTCACCACTTACCTGTGTAATCACTATGGTAAGATGTCACCACTTACCTGTGTAATCACTATGGTAAGATGTCACATAATGTTGCTTACCTGTGTAATCTCTATGGTAAGATGTCAAGGTATCAATTTCCCCTGCTGGCCTCTTGTATGGTTCATGTTGGTGGATAAATGGTTTATCCAGTGGGTGCTTGATGTAATCCGTTCTGTTAGGAAAATAAGAGTGGGCCAACTTCAAACAGAGCCAAAATAAACAATCTTTAGTCTAACTTTTTAACTTCAGAGCCAAAATAAACAATATTTAGTCTAACTAGCTTTTTAACAACTTAGGCACAGGATTATGCTCAGTATAGTAGTGTAAGGCCTAGAGAACAGAACATCAGTGGTAGTAGAGGGGAGGGGTTACATACATGATGGAACAAAATGTAACCCAAAGGACAATTACAAATGACATGCATGCCTTTGCTTCTCTTAGACTTTATAACAAATCTGAGACAATTGTGTAGTAGTGCTGGTGATTGAAAACATTATGAAAAGCTAATGTAGTGACTGAGTTTGTCTTATTTACTTTTTGCTGCAATAGGTCTAGTTCTGTACTACAGTATACTATGGTAGGCAGAGGTGTAGCGAGGGGGGGTGCGGACCGCACCGGGTGACACCATTTAGGGAGGTGACACCAAGGCAAAAAATAGCAAAATATATAGAGAAAAACTTGAGGGGGGTGCAAATCGAAAGTTGGGGGGGGGGGGTGCAAATCGAAAATTTGAAAGTTTGTCCCCGGGAAGGGTCGCTACGCCTCTGGGGGGGGGGGGGGTGACACCATTAAGTGCCGCACCGGGTGACACCCGACCTCGCTACGCCACTGATGGTAGGCAATACTAATACTATAGCTAATAGATAGTAGGAATACTATGCTGTAATATATTTAAATCTAAACTGTAACTCTATACTATATGTTATAAATTATTTTAATAAAGGCCTATACCTATAGTATTCTATAGTTAAGTGGTCTATAAAAAAATAATCTATACTATTTTATAAATTCAGTACTTAGTACGGCAGTGCCTACTTTAGTGTGGACGTTTGTAAGGTGGCCGGCTGTGGACATTAAGGCCAGGCTAATGTTTACAGTCTCCTACCAAGTCAGATTTCAGATGCAAACAGAACTTTTTTGGACAAACGACAAACACAACCTTGCACACACAGATCCAAAACAGAACTAAAGTTTGGCTAGGGCCTACAGAAGTTGAGTATGACGTAGGCAAATCATGTGTATATGTGAGGTTTAGAGAGTAGCCCTACAATACTCGAGTACTGGCAAGTTTTCAAAAACTAATTGAAGATAAATTAATTAATTAATTTGATTAATGGCTCATAACATTCTTTCGGAAGTGGAGCGGTTAGATGCCTGAAAGAAACAATACCCATAGCAAGTCTATAGTTTGTCATAATCTTTGAGGCGTGGTTATGAAACACAGGGCCTATATTTTGTTATTTGTAGTGGGAGGACTACGTGCGCTAGACAACATAGTGTATCCTTTGTCATACCGTCACTACACTCTGTCATGTTGTTACTACACTCTGTCATGTTGTCACTACACTCTGTCATAACGTCCCTACACTCTGTCATATTGTTACTACACTCTGTCATGTTGTCACTACACTCTGTCATATTGTCACTACACTCTGTCATAACGTCACTGTTATGAGCAGTGGCGTCGCTATGTCGAGTGTCACCCGGTGCGGCACTTCGTGGTGTCACTCCCTCCCACTCCCCACACCCTCTTGTAATAATGTCGATTTGTACTTAAATGATTATTTAACTGTAATTAATCATCAATTGAGCTGGCACAAAAGCAATTTGTTACCGTGGTGTTACACCCCCCCCCCCCCAAGAGATGCCAGAAAGAAACACTGCATGGCTGTCAAAAACAGCCTTCAGGTGAACTGTAGCTGGTGCTCAGTATGACGATCGTCGCCTTATGACGTCACCCAGACAGACGCTACTTCTCAAAATGGCGATTTTCCCAGCACTAGTAAAGCCCGTGTTTATCTTTATCACGTGCACCGAACCCAACCTGAGCCGGCGTGGTGGTCATTGTTTTTCGCGTCCTCTGAATCCGCTCAATGTGCCAGGTTGGTTCCACGTCACAGATTCATTTGTGGACTCTCTTCGCCTTGTCTACAGTGAGAACGAACAATGCGGAGACGTCAAGCGACTTTTCAATACTCGGCTTCACATTCAAGAAGACATTTGTGACTCGGTGCAACATTCCATTCTAAGAGTTCTTGGTGGGACGGACAACTGGGTGGGTGTGGCGTGCGGGTGGGTGGGGAATGTTTGAGCACTTTAAAGAATAGACTGTGATGGTCAATAGTTATGATAAACAAGAGATAGTTTGCTGGCTGCCTGCCAGTTGGTTAGCTTTGGGTGACAAGAAATTTTAACGAAACCTCCAGTCAAGTTATCAGAGAAGCATCGTGGCAACAAATTGGTCTAATCACACTCTCTGTATCAACCTCCTCCCTGCCTTGTTCAACCGTTGTATGAGATGTAGATAATAAATAACTAACATCACAGAAATACGACTGAATCACGAGTGCATTTAGTTTGCAGTCAGACACTATAGATGTTAAAATAGACGATGTTCTTTAGAAAGAGATGGTTGAAATTACGAGAAATGTAAAGACGATCTGAACAGGATAATGATCCAGGCACACAGACACACAATGTGGCGCCTTGTTATGCACTCGCCACTCCACTAAACTGAAAACCTGGCCTTAGGGAAGGTGGGGTTGGGAAGGTGCTTCGTGTGTAGTTAACAGCTAGTTAGGGAGGGTGGGGTTGGGAAGGTGCTTCGTGTGTAGTTAACAGCTAGGGTAGGTCCAGCTTCCTCTGTCAAAGACTGCATATTTTAATAAAGATTTTGGTTTAGTTTATTAAGAAAATTGCTGAACAAGAATGTTTTAATGCAATTCATCATGAACTTTCTATGTCACGATGTGTTCATGTAATACATCATGAACTTTCTGTCATGTGATTCATCATGCGGATGTTACTCATCATCATCATCATCATTCCTTTGTGGCCCCTTGGGAGCAAAGGGCTGCAACTACACATTTCCAGCGGACTCGGTTTTGGGCTGCTCCCTTAATCTGTGCCCATGCGAGTCCAGCTGTTTTCGTCTCTTCCTCAACCGTTCTTTTCCATGTTATCTTTGGCCGGCCCACTTTCCTTTTTCCATGGGGATTCCAGTCCATGGGGATGTTACTACTAACCACTAAATGTGATTCACACATGGACACAAAATGTGATTCACACATGGACACAAAATGTGATTCACACATGGACACAAAATGTGATTCACACATGGACACAAAATGTGATTCACACATGGACACACAATGATAAAGCAGGCCATGACTAGTTTGAATATGATTTGCACCTGAGATTATTCTGATATTGGCTCACATCACACATGATGATATGCTACATAGTTCAGGCATCGTAGATAGTACAATGGTACAAACGATAGCCTAACAAAAGCCAGACAGCCAAGTGCAACAGTAGAGGCAATAGCAAAGCTAAAGTCAGACAAGCATTGGACACAGCTAATTCAGGGCTGTAATTTTTTTTATTTAAAGGGTTAAAAAAGTGGCACACATTGATATTGGCAGTGCCAGTTCACCATCACAAAGAATGTCCTGCAGGAATGAAACATTTGAGATCAATCATCACAAACTAGACACTTATTGTAATGAAAAAAGAAATGTAACAAAATGTAGTTTTAACCTACTAACAGTTACAAGCAAAAATTCTCTTAAGAAAACTTCAGTGACTCTGATGGTGCTAGGTCAACAGACAGCAGAAAATGTACAACAGCCATAGCAGACACATAGCAGACGTGTAGGAGAATAGGTATGAACCAATGAGATGCAAGAGGATGACCAGTCATGTGAGATGGTCAGCTGACCATTGTAGCTTTGGCAGTGAGTTGCACATAGATAAAGTTAGCAGTCAGTCGTCATCGGTCATTGAGCATGTAGTAAAGTTGAATGTTAGATCAGAAGTTGTGGTAGATAGATATTGTTGGAGGAGATAGTTGATTGGAGATTAGTTAGATAGAAGTAATGTATAGTACAGCAGAGGTGGACAGAATTAGGAGTAGACTGTGATAGGTGTAAATTGTAAATAAACTGTAATAATATTGGAACTTGGCATTGTGTTGTTGTGTTGAAGGAACACTACAGGTCTTATTACAAGTGAAGAAATTGATCCCCATTTAACCATATCGGAATAATACAAACTTCCAATGAGGTTTTGCACATAACAGTCAAACTGTAACAACATTGTTGAGCAAGCATACCTAACATGTATTACTAAATGTACATTACCTAAACGTTGTCTTGTCTGAAAGTGGCTCTTCACTTCTTAAAGCTGAATTGTCTGGCTTACAGCTCTCCCTGGGTTGTAATGGGTGTGGCTTGTAGGCTGTGTTGTAGGAGGTCACCAGACACTCCCCATAATCTCCTCCAGGGCGCCATGGACGATGTGGACAGTGGTGACGTCTACATGTTTAAAGAAATAATTATGCTTAAAGAATAAAGATTAATTTGCTAAACATAAACTGAACAATCATTTATACTTATTACATAAGTCCCCAAGCCATGGCATATTGTATGTATATTGAATTGTATTTAATGGAGGCGAGCGAGTTGACGAGATTCCTTCCATAATATTGTTGACATGGAATAAAAACGTGCTTTTTAGATTTAGACCGTAAAAAAAAATAAAAAATAAAAACTTAAGCCTAAAATTAATTTAGAAATTTTATATTTTTAGAATAAATGCTATAAAAGTTGCAAATCCAGAGAACTTGAAAATAATTTGTTGAGTTTAAGGCTACATTTCTATTTATTTTCATCAAGCCTAAGTTATAACCGGATGTTTCACTTTCGTAAGACAAATATTGATTGGCTGTACAGTAACTTAGTGATCGATAACTATTTGTTTACAAAACGTTGCAGATCAAGTTTTTAAATAACAATGCAAATTAAAAACCCCATGACCTAGTTTTCTATTTTTAGCTTACAATGTGTACAATAAAATCAATGGCGGCCTATCCAATAGCAGGATGCCATTGTTTATGTCGCCATTACACGTGAAAACCAAATTGTTTTTGCTTTTTTTAAAATTTTTATTTAGTTACCGAAAATATTATAAACATCAAATACATCCAATCTTTAGTAAAGTCCAAAAAAAACCAGACAGACAGGATTTTATAACCATATTAATTGTAACTACGCTGTGCATGATTTTTAAATGAATTTATACACCTCTCAAATACCTTTGAGACTTTTCTCGCTGGTGTCCATTGTAATATTTGTAAACCAATGTAAAAAAATAATTACTACTGCCTCTTAAATATAAATTACAAAAATTTAAATAAATCATAGATCTAAATCTATGTTCAAATTGTTATGCAGGAGAATTGAATTGAATAGTCAAACTTGGTTTTAAATTTCGTAATTTATCATTCTTCGAATGTGCTCTAAAGAAAAAAACGTAGAAGACAAGATGTAGATCAGCAATAATACATCGTAAAAATAAATTTTTATTGCTAATTTTAGATAAATATACAATTTCTTACCCACAAGTACAGATCTCACAAATGCATCTTTTACCCATTATCACTGGAATCTACTAACTGGAAAAATAAAGTGGTATGTGATTAGAAGTTTAAAAAATCGCAAGTGCTTTCCATAGAACGAAAGGCGCTAGCGTGTTACTAAGCGCCACCAGCAACTGTTTATCAAAGATGGCGAATACTTAGCAACAGACGCCTTGTTACTTTCTAAAAGCAGGAGGTGCTTACTGTAATTTTTTATAAATTCTAAAATTTTATTTATTACTAGAAATAATACAACAAATCATGAATATGTTATAATATAAAATTAAATATAAACAAAACATGCATTTTAAAAATATTTTTGCGATATATTTGTAGTATATGAAGTATAAAATGAAATATAAATATTATAAACAAGGAACACCCAAAACACAATATTATCTTATTCAAGGGAGAGCACCCAAAACAGCAACATTGATCTGCAAAACCTTACCCTACATTTACAAATCACTAACATTTTTTAAAAAATCTGGCAGAAAAAACCTAATACTACTATTCTAGAATCTAGATCTAGATCTACCTAAGAATCTAAATCTAAAGTCTAGTATTAGATAAATCATTATCTTTAATCATCCATATTATTTATTACTTAATAAGTTAATAATATTAAAATTTTAAAAACTTTTTATTTATGAACTCTAGAAATTCATCATATGGCTAGGCCTAATATTTTAATAGCTTGTTTTCGCTCTTGAATGATTTTCCCATTACCAACAACATCAGTCAACAACCCATGCTAAGTTAAAGACAAGACGGTTAAAGTAAAAAAAACACATATTTGAATGAGGAAAATTCTTTAAAGCATTATTATTTTATGTACTCATAGGATGTAATTTATAATTAATACTAGTCCTCCCCATATTATAGACAAATAAAGTCTGACGAAATATATTATATTAGGAGGGTTTCATTAATACTTTGCCAATCCTATATTCTAGAAGCGTAACCCTTCTTTCTAAAACTGAGTCATTTAAATGTAAACAATTTCTGCGATTGGATCATATTTATGGGGGCACGGGTTTACCCACTACACTACTGCCTTGAGTGTACTTTAATCACTCACCGTAATATCACAGTTAATCACTCACCGCTTAAGTGTCAGAGACGTAGAGGGGCACTCTTGTGAGCCCCTGATTACACTACTCCAGGGGCGCCGCATACGGCCCCTGACTCTGCTCTCTTGTCAGTATTGTAGGGTGCTCCTTAAAACTAACGTAGGCACCACAGGATAGCGCAGAGCACCAAATCACGCCCTGCTGGTGTGGCAGAGGACGCACCTGGTTATGTTTAGTGAATGACTCTAAAACCCCATCTTATGCATAGTCTATCACACTGTTTAAATGAACGTGGGCACTATAGCGCTCACGGGATATCCATGTGCACTGAATTGCGCCCTGCTGGGGTGCCAGCGAACGCACTGGATTCAATTTAGTGAGCGACTAAAATGCCCCATCTTATCCATCATCTATTGCACTGTTTAGAATGCATGCAGGGGCGCTGGAGGAAGCACCTGATTTGATATTGTCAGCGATTATTGTTGCCCATCGTGTCTTTAGTTTTTTTCTGCAAAAACCTTTTCTGGAGTATTCTCATCAACTCCCCAAAGTTTCATGGCACTCTGATGAATGGTGTCAAAATGCATCTGACTTTTATTTCTTATATGCCATATAGAGAAAAAATCGCAAGTAAAAAAGATTTTCTTGCAGATACCTCCCATGTGTATTCTCAACAACTTCCTAAAGTTTCATGGTGATCGGATGAAAGGTGTAGTAATGCATAAAAGGCAAACAAACATAAATTGATTTTTTATGTATAGATTAATAATTAAAAGATTAAAAAGTCGTCAGACCTCTTTGTGTTCATGACCTCTAATTCTGTAAAATTGGTCGCTTATCTGCAGATGGGAGGCGCAAACTATTGAGTCGAGGGGGAGGAGGCTTTCTGAATTTTTGACAGCACTTGCAATTTTAGAAACTGAATTTTGAAAAGGATGATAGACAGTGACATCATTTCAAGTGTTGGGTTCTGGCTTTTGGTGATGACATTTAACTGGGGAAAGGGGGATGAGTAAAAAATCTTTGTTTGGGGTATAATGAGCTCGGTGTAGGAATGAATATGACTTTATTTAAAAACGCACACTTTTTATATGCAAGATAAGAGTTTCATGTTTGTTTAAAAATGTAGTTATTTTGGTGTTAGATTCGATATGTGGCTGTCCACTTTTGTAAATCCAAGAAGCAGCTAGGCAACTAACACATTGTTCAGTCTGTCTTACTTTCAAACAATATAGCTGTTCCCATTCCTTTTTTTTTTTTTTTTAGGTTTTAGATATTTGAGTTCCATCTTCTACAGCATGTGCGTAAAGATCCACAATCCCCTAGAGGTCATCCTTTTTCAAAATGATTTAAATCCCCCACCCCCCAATTAGACATCATACTTCAGCCTACTACCCTTTCAAAATAGCAGTGTTTTGGTTTATTACACAGCGGTTTCTTTCTAAAATATTTACTGAGCTTGGTCAGAATTAAGTATTTTGATCAATTTTAATCCATTTTATGAAAAAAAGTCTTTTAAAGATGTGAAAAAATAGCCAAAATTCAGTTCTAGCATTACTTTTTAAAAAGCAGCCGTGTGTTGTCACATTTTCTGCTCTCCACTCATCAAGTCTGAGCTCCCCTCCCCCAAGGAGTTCGTGGTCGTTTATGGACAACCCTCTACATGCTATTGTGTGTATTAAGTAAATCAGCCTGATTAACAAATAATATTTATTGTATGGACATTTCAACATTTACTCTTGAAAACATTCTGTGTAAAATACTCTTTATTAGCACAAAATAAATACACTATTTACTGTTAAAACAAAATTTTAAAATCTCCTGACTACTAGCCAATGAAGCTAAAGGCAGGTAAACCATGTTTTTAAAAAAACAAAGCACACTATTGTACTTTCTTTGAATAAAACCATCCCTAGATCATTTTTATAACTTAATCAGATGACACAGGTATTCCCTGCATGGGTTGTTTTTAATTTGTGTTACAAATTCCCTTAGGCCACATATAAAGTGCATTTATTACATATTTTATAGGGGCCATAGAAAAGATTTTGACACTCCACCTTTGGCCATGATTGGAGAAAGACTTTGGCACTCAAAAAGTGTTTTTTTTTAATGTAATGCTGAAGGCTGTAGATAATAAAACAAATACAGAAAATTTTCCTGCTTATTTTGAACAATTTAAAACTTTTTACAATAATCTTTTAACTTCATGATTCAATTTATTATAAGAAACAATGTTTTTCAAAAGTTCATTGTTGACAAATATTTATAATTTTACCAAATCTACCAAGTTTAAAAAAAAATGTAAAATTTAAATGTATTTGAAAATTTGTACAAAAACTCTTTGAAATAAGACAGTTTCTTTTGGTTCACTAATAATTTTTATTCTAATTTTATCAGGCTTTTTATGCTTGTATTTCACAATTATTTCATGACTTAAACATGTCAGAAAAGAGATCAACTTTAATTCAATGGGTACTTTAAATTTTATATTATATAAGTATTATACTAAAATCTTAATTATAGGTTACACAAAGAATATACAGATTGCTAAAATAAATGATAAGACAACTATTATTTCATCACACACACACTAAAAAAGGCTAAGAAAAAAAAAGTATTTCAATGTTGATCACAATTTAAGCAAACTGATTAACTACACATTTTTTCCACACCAAACAAAATAAGTATTATGAGTATTATGAAGCTATAGTCATTTAAAAAAATATAATGCATAAAAACAATCAGATAAATAATTTTTTCTTTTGTCCTCATTAGATTGTACAGCAAAATAAAAACTAGTATAATTTATGTCATCAGCCTTCATAGTCAACTGTAACACCAAATACAAAACTGATTGTCTCCTCATAGTAATATTTGTCATAAGACTTCATCTTCATTCAAACAATGCAGGGCATTCAACTCAACAAAACAAACACAATACAAATGATAATACATCAAACAATGCAGGGCATTCAACTCAACAAAACAAACACAATACAAATGATAATACATCAAACAATGCAGGGCATTCAACTCAACAAAACAAACACACCATAAATGATAACACATCAAACAATGCAGGGCATTCAACTCAACAAAACAAACACAACATAAATGATAACACATCAAAAATGTTGACATAACAACAAACACATCACAAATGTTAGCACAATCAAACAAACCCAACACAAATGTTAGCCCAACAAAACAAACATAACATACATGTTAGCAAAGTGTATTAAGTTAGCTATCAATGTTCAAGATTTACAATAAAGCTTCAAGTGTTAGCAACTGTATGACAAGAGCAAAGAATAACAAAGAGAAATAGCACCAGAATAGATATTTAGTTACCATCCCCATCAGTATTACAGCAAGTCAAAATCTATCACTAGTTGTCACTGAAAGTACCAAAAATTTACCACCAGCTGATAGTAAAGTACCATAATCTATCCCCTAGCTGTCACTGTTTTGCTTAACTGTTAAGATTAAGAATTTTCTAAAATGGCATTTTGTGTGTCAGCTAATTGTAAATCATAGAATGAGAAAATTAATTTCTGGAAACCTTTTAGTGACAGAAGAGTGGGTAAATAGAGATTTGAAAACTAAGAGTTTCCATACTTCAGGCAGTATAAGAACTGGGTCAATAGAGTGTCAGTATATGAAGTATTAGGTCCACAGCTTGTCAACACATATTATTACTAGGTTAACAAAGGATCAGTGTACATTATTAGGTCATGTAGAACTTCATTAAAAGATAGCACATATGAAGAATTAAGTTAACAGTGATTCAGCATATGAAGAACTGGATAACATTTATTATAGAGGTTGACTTGTATCCAGCATAGGGTTCTTGTATGTTGTTGTAGCTCCTTTATAGAAAGGATTGTCTTGCTGAAATTGAAAACGTTGATTGTTAAAAATGTCATGAAATGGTTTTTGTTTTTAAACTTACATTGTAAGGATGTTATTTAAACATCAGTGTTAATTAGCACTTAATTCTTTTGGTGTGCTAGTTAAAAGATAGATTTTTCTCCCTTCAAAAACATACTGTGGCATTATTTCATTTGCCAGATTTTTCACTGATGATGTTTAAACTTGTCCCTCACCTGTGCCCATTTGCACTGTTTGAGATCCTCTTGAAACTTGGAATACTCGACCCTATCAAATATGGTAGTCAGGATTTTCCAGAGCAACAATAAGAGCAGGCCAATGGCAACAACCCCACCCACCACGCCAATGGCTATTGGTAGAATATCCACTGGCTCAGGACAGGCTAGAAAAAACATAGCATAGAAAATTGCATCATTTTTAAGTTTCATAGCTTATGTATTGGCAGTAAGGTTTACATTTATTGTGAATCATTTATATACTGTATGATTTTGTTTAGGATAGGAGTAGGCCTACATGAATAAAAATCAAGCTTACTTGTAGTTTTTTGTAAAATAATGGTTACATTGTTTTCTGAAGACTGAACATGGAATGCCATAAAACATCCGTCATCTTGCTTGACTGAGCACACAGATCCTTCGTAATCTGTTGACAACAAACTGCCTGTAATCTTTCTATCTTTATTTTTAATTGTTCTAACTGTTTATCTGAGACAGATACAATTTTTTGATGTATTTAGAAAAAAATATGAGCCACCTTTGATGGAGTCAACGAGCTGTACATCAGGACAGCCAGAGGGGCACTGGTTTTGTTTGAAGTTACATTCAGCGCAGGCTCTGTACAAATGGTTGTCACACACTGTGTCCCCACACAACTGAAGGGAAATGGTGAGTCAATGTTAATGTCACACACACACACACTGTGTCCCCACACAACTGAAGGGAAATAGTGAGTCAATGTTAATGTCACAGCACAGGCTCTGTACAAATGGTTGTCACACACTGTGTCCCCACACAACTGAAGGGAAATGGTGAGTCAATGTTAATGTCACACACACACACACTGTGTCCCCACACAACTGAAGGGAAATAGTGAGTCAATGTTAATGTCACAGCACAGGCTCTGTACAAATGGTTGTCACACACTGTGTCCCCACACAACTGAAGGGAAATGGTGAGTCAATGTTAATGTCACAGCACAGGCTCTGTACAAATGGTTGTCACACACTGTGTCCCCACACAACTGAAGGGAAATGGTGAGTCAATGTTAATGTCACAGCACAGGCTCTGTACAAATGGTTGTCACACACTGTGTCCCCACACAACTGAAGGGAAATGGTGAGTCAATGTTAATGTCACAGCACAGGCTCTGTACAAATGGTTGTCACACACTGTGTCCCCACACAACTGAAGGGAAATGGTGAGTCAATGTTAATGTCACACACACACACACACAGTGTCCCCACACAACTGAAGGGAAATGTTGAGTCAATGTTAATGTCACACACACACAGTCCCCACACAACTGTAGGGAAATGGTGAGTCAATGTTAATGTCACACACAGCGTCTCACACACTGTGTCCCCACACAACTGAAGGGAAATGTTGAGTCAATGTTAATGTCACACACACACAGTCCCCACACAACTGTAGGGAAATGGTGAGTCAATGTTAATGTCACACACTGTATCCCCACACAACTGAAGGGAAATAGTGAGTCAATGTTAATGTCACACACACACACTGTCCCCACACAACTGAAGGGAAATAGTGAGTCAATGTTAATGTCACACACTGTGTCCCCACACAACTGAAGGGAAATAGTGAGTCAATGTTAATGTCACACAGTGTCCGCACACAACTGAAGGGAAATAGTGAGTCAATGTTAATGTCACACACTGTGTCCCCACACAACTGAAGGGAAATAGTGAGTCAATGTTAATGTCACACACTGTGTCCCCACACAATTGAAGGGAAATGGTGGGTCAATGTTAATGTCACACACTGTGTCCCCACACAATTGAAGGGAAATAGTGAGTCAATGTTAATGTCACACACACACACTGTCCCCACACAACTGAAGGGAAATAGTGAGTCAATGTTAATGTCACACACTGTGTCCCCACACAACTGAAGGGAAATAGTGAGTCAATGTTAATGTCACACAGTGTCCCCACACAACTGAAGGGAAATAGTGAGTCAATGTTAATGTCACACACTGTGTCCCCACACAACTGAAGGGAAATAGTGAGTCAATGTTAATGTCACACACTGTGTCCCCACACAATTGAAGGGAAATGGTGGGTCAATGTTAATGTCACACACTGTGTCCCCACACAATTGAAGGGAAATAGTGAGTCAATGTTAATGTCACACATACACACACTGTGTCCCCACACAACTGAAGGGAAATAGTGAGTCAATGTTAATGTCACACAGACACACACTGTGTCCCCACACAACTGAAGGGAAATGGTGAGTCAATGTTAATGTCACACACACACACTGTGTCCCCACACAACTGAAGGGAAATGGTGAGTCAATGTTAATGTCACACACACACAGTCCCCACACAATTGAAGGGAAATAGTGGGTCAATGTTAATGTCACACACACACAGTCCCCACACAATTGAAGGGAAATAGTGGGTCAATGTTAATGTCACACAGACACACACTGTCCCCACACAACTGTAGGGAAATAGTGAGTCAATGTTAATGTCACACAGACACACACTGTCCCCACACAACTGAAGGGAAATGTTGAGTCAATGTTAATGTCACACAGACACACACTGTCCCCACACAACTGAAGGGAAATAGTGAGTCAATGTTAATGTCACACAGACACACACTGTCCCCACACAACTGAAGGGAAATAGTGAGTCAATGTTAATGTCACACACACACACACTGTCCCCACACAACTGAAGGGAAATGTTGAGTCAATGTTAATGTCACACAGACACACACTGTCCCCACACAACTGAAGGGAAATAGTGAGTCAATGTTAATGTCACACAGACACACACTGTCCCCACATAACTGAAGGAAAATAGTGAGTCAATGTTAATGTCACACACACACACACACTGTCCCCACACAACTGAAGGGAAATAGTGAGTCAATGTTAATGTCACACACACACAGTCCCCACACAATTGAAGGGAAATAGTGAGTCAATGTTAATGTCACACAGACACACACTGTCCCCACACAACTGTAGGGAAATAGTGGGTCAATGTTAATGTCACACAGACACACACTGTCCCCACACAACTGAAGGGAAATAGTGAGTCAATGTTAATGTCACACACACAGTGTCCCCACACAACTGAAGGGAAATAGTGAGTCAATGTTAATGTCACACACACACACTGTCCCCACACAACTGAAGGGAAATAGTGAGCCAATGTTAATGTCACACACACACTGTCCCCACACAACTGAAGGGAAATAGTGAGTCAATATTAATGTCACACACTGTGTCCCCACACAACTGAAGGGAAATAGTGAGTCAATGTTAATGTCACACACACTGTGTCCCCACACAACTGAAGGGAAATAGTGAGTCAATGTTAATGTCACACAGACACACACTGTCCCCACACAACTGAAGGGAAATAGTGAGTCAATGTTAATGTCACACAGACACACACTGTCCCCACATAACTGAAGGAAAATAGTGAGTCAATGTTAATGTCACACACAGCGTCTCACACACTGTGTCCCCACACAACTGAAGGGAAATAGTGAGTCAATGTTAATGTCACACACAGTGTCCCCACACAACTGAAGGGAAATAGTGAGTCAATGTTAATGTCACACAGACACACACTGTCCCCACACAACTGAAGGGAAATAGTGAGTCAATGTTAATGTCACACACACACTGTCCCCACACAACTGAAGGGAAATAGTGAGTCAATGTTAATGTCACACACACACTGTCCCCACACAACTGAAGGGAAATAGTGAGTCAATGTTAATGTCACACATACACACACTGTGTCCCCACACAACTGTAGGGAAATAGTGAGTCAATGTTAATGTCACACAGACACACACTGTCCCCACACAACTGAAGGGAAATAGTGAGTCAATGTTAATGTCACACACACAGTGTCCCCACACAACTGAAGGGAAATAGTGAGTCAATGTTAATGTCACACACTGTGTCCCCACACAACTGAAGGGAAATAGTGAGTCAATGTTAATGTCACACACACTGTGTCCCCACACAACTGTAGGGAAATAGTGAGTCAATGTTAATGTCACACAGACACACACTGTCCCCACACAACTGAAGGGAAATAGTGAGTCAATGTTAATGTCACACATACATACACTGTCCCCACACAACTGAAGGGAAATAGTGAGTCAATGTTAATGTCACACAGACACACACTGTCCCCACACAACTGAAGGGAAATAGTGAGTCAATGTTAATGTCACACACACTGTGTCCCCACACAACTGAAGGGAAATAGTGAGTCAATGTTAATGTCACACAGACACACACTGTCCCCACACAACTGAAGGGAAATAGTGAGTCAATGTTAATGTCACACAGACACACACTGTCCCCACATAACTGAAGGAAAATAGTGAGTCAATGTTAATGTCACACACAGCGTCTCACACACTGTGTCCCCACACAACTGAAGGGAAATAGTGAGTCAATGTTAATGTCACACACAGTGTCCCCACACAACTGAAGGGAAATAGTGAGTCAATGTTAATGTCACACACACACACTGTCCCCACACAACTGAAGGGAAATGTTGAGTCAATGTTAATGTCACACAGACACACACTGTCCCCACACAACTGAAGGGAAATAGTGAGTCAATGTTAATGTCACACACACAGTGTCCCCACACAACTGAAGGGAAATAGTGAGTCAATGTTAATGTCACACAGACACACACTGTCCCCACACAACTGAAGGGAAATAGTGAGTCAATGTTAATGTCACACACACAGTGTCCCCACACAACTGAAGGGAAATAGTGAGTCAATGTTAATGTCACACAGACACACACTGTCCCCACACAACTGAAGGGAAATAGTGAGTCAATGTTAATGTCACACACACAGTGTCCCCACACAACTGAAGGGAAATAGTGAGTCAATGTTAATGTCACACAGACACACACAGTGTCCCCACACAACTGAAGGGAAATAGTGAGTCAATGTTAATGTCACACAGACACACACTGTCCCCACACAACTGAAGGGAAATAGTGAGTCAATGTTAATGTCACACAGACACACACTGTCCCCACATAACTGAAGGAAAATAGTGAGTCAATGTTAATGTCACACACACACACACTGTCCCCACACAACTGAAGGGAAATAGTGAGTCAATGTTAATGTCACACACACACAGTCCCCACACAATTGAAGGGAAATAGTGAGTCAATGTTAATGTCACACAGACACACACTGTCCCCACACAACTGTAGGGAAATAGTGGGTCAATGTTAATGTCACACAGACACACACTGTCCCCACACAACTGAAGGGAAATAGTGAGTCAATGTTAATGTCACACACACAGTGTCCCCACACAACTGAAGGGAAATAGTGAGTCAATGTTAATGTCACACAGACACACACTGTCCCCACACAACTGAAGGGAAATAGTGAGTCAATGTTAATGTCACACACACACACTGTCCCCACACAACTGAAGGGAAATAGTGAGTCAATGTTAATGTCACACACACACTGTCCACACACAACTGAAGGGAAATAGTGAGTCAATATTAATGTCACACACTGTGTCCCCACACAACTGAAGGGAAATAGTGAGTCAATGTTAATGTCACACACACTGTGTCCCCACACAACTGAAGGGAAATAGTGAG